AGCCTGTGAAGGTCACAGTCTCCGCCAAACCTTTCAGCTGCTTTTCACAACACAACCCTGGGCCCTTTGGAACAACAGGAAGAATGTCATCTGGTTACTTTTCAAGGCACGGCGAAACCATTCAGCGCGGCCAACAATGGTCGCAAACAGGGCCAGGGGGGGGTTAAGAGGTTATGAAAGGGCCCCATTCTATGCGCGGCTCGATCTTCAGTGCGCCGCAACGCACGCGGAGAGAAAACACGCCTACGCGGCGAGGAGTGATGCGGGCGGTGATGAGCCGAGGGCCGGTCGCAGCAAAGTGCGGCATGTAGACCGCTCGCCTCGGTCGCTCTGCCCAGCAGAGCTCTTGACAAAGCAAAGCCTCCGAGCATCACACGCCTCGCCGGGGCTTCACACTCACTGCCTCGTAACTCTGGAGAATATAACCGTCAATACCCAGAGGTCCTCATTTCTTTTCTAACTGCCATTTTTAAACGACATTACATTTAGCATTAACACTTTTAGCCAAACCAACTTGCAATAAGTGGACTTCAACCATCAGGATCCAAAAATAAGTAGATAATAAATACTTCAAATGCACTACTTGCACTGCATTGTGATTGAAGAGAGAGAATATGAGGAACGATGCTTGTAATGAGCCGCAAATGATGAAATGCACCTATGTAACACAATTCAAAATGTGGGTAATCAAAAGAAGCATTCCTCTAAAACGCACTACACCCTGTGTTTGATGACTCGGGATTAACAAAAAATGATCGGATTATTCAGGTTTTAAAGCATGTTCCGAAATAGACACCCAAAGACTACAGCCGGAAGCCCAAATGCATCACCAAAATATTAAAAATAAAGCCCAATTAGCCAACAGCATTTTACATCTTCTCCCTCTGTAATCCTCCGGTGGTTCAGTCTCACCTAACGTCTGCGCCAACTGTGACACTTTGAGCCGTCTCTCCCTCCGTCCCTCCGCTTGAGATTCCCTACAGCTTCACAGGCGCCTTGTTGTGGCATTCTCTCTGACCCCGCACGCCGCCAGCGGCTAATGATGCGGTTGGCATAGACGTAGGAAAACTGCGGCAATGAACGGTGGACATACTAATGGCACCTATTAGGATTACTCAGGGGTGATACGGGACTCGCCTGGCAACCCTCTTATTCTACAGGGTTGGTAGTGAGGATGCAGAGTGTCAGCGATCCGACTGAGGCGGCCTTATCTCGTGCCATAAACAGATAGCAGTCCCTGGCCTGCTCGGCTGCTGTTCCTGTGAGATGGAGGCAGATAAACAACCCTGTCGTCTCAGACAGACGCCGTGCCAGACCGGCTTCTTCCTGCTGCCGCGACTGCCAGTTTTGCCTCGAATGTCCCCGCGAGGCTTAGATCTCTTCCCCGATTGCCCTCAAGCTAAAAGACACCACATTTCTCAGACATTCAACATTTTCTCATCTCGTCGGGTTGCAGCACTCCCTGGCTTGGCTTTTCCTGACTACACAAACTACCCAGCGGGAGCAGGGTTTTTTTTTTGGTCCTACGTGGAGCTGCCGGTTAACATGCAAATCCATGCAAAAAGATGAAGGTACACCAAAATATAACAAACAAAGATACAGAGCACATCTTCCAAAAGGGTTGGTCGTCTGTCGTCACCCCTTAAATCAATCCCTCGGGAACTAAACTAAATACAAGCTGCAGCCTGAGTCCGCCGGGTCGGTGCCTCGTCCTCAGACGCATCCAGAGGTTGCCCCGTGATGTCACAGACACCTGATCTGCGTATGAACGAGTCACGTGACTTTCCCACAAAGCCTAGGCAACGTCTGTCTGGAAACAGACTCGTATAGCGCTGGGTGACCTCAAAGAGCGCCCCCCCCCCCCCTCCATGCGGTGGGTGGCTGAGCGCGGGCTGACAGCTGACCTGGCGGCAGCCGGACTGAAAGGTGGAGCCTGCTTGCAGATCTTTGTTACCTGGGAAATCTCTGACCTGCTGCCTGGGACAGGGGGTGGGGGGGGGGTCAGCATTATTTAGCAAATGCTGCTCATCCAAAGCTACCGGGGCGAGGAGAATAAGAATCCACTGTGCACAGCAAATTGACGGGGAACACCTGCAGGAGATTTATATTACACGGACCCTGGCTGAAAAATGAAAAGGAAGAGCGTACTGGCACACATTTGGAATTCAAGTGTTTCTGAAATGCAACATCAAATGGCTGGCTTTGAATAAACCAAATCGAGCATCAGCCGAGCGGCTCGTTGCATTGCAGGAAACCCTCTGCATCAAAGGATACGCTGGTTAGTCCAAGCGCTCCACGCTCAACAATCACAGAAACACGGCCGTCACCAATCAACGCATTCTAATGAGCTCCCTGCGAATCCCAACATGAGCTGAAGCATAAAAATCTGTTATTCAGTGTCTCAAGTCTCGGGCCAAACAGAGCAGAGCTTTGATGGCGTGCTCCTAGCTGCTGTGGGCTAGTCCGACGTCGGGGACCGGACCGTTTGGCGGCCGGGCGGAGAGCCTCCTGCAGCGCTGAACGTCTGGGATTCAAAGCGAGGTGCTCGGGATGATGGCTTTGGCTTCATGAACGCCATCATCACTCGCTTATATCTGCTTTGCCTCTTGCTTGCATGAAGAAAGTTAGAGTGAGATTAGTATCTAGAGAGCCGTGTGGGTGTGCAAACTACACTCACACCAAACTACTCACTACTCAGCTTTAAAGCGGCCACCCAGGTGCCCTAAACGCGCAGGTGTGGGTGTGATTCTCTTTCTGCGGAGGTTTAACCTCGTCTACATCTGTAGACTGAGGAGCTACAGCAGCCGAGATGCTACGCACGTATTTTAGAGGAAATTACTCTCCTCTGCCCACAATGTAATCAATAAGTACCAATACATTTGTCCGGCGGGTGGGCTGACAAAAAAACAAAAACTAGGCAACTTGCTTTGTTGTCAGTTTGCCCTCAGCAAGGACTGAGGGATGGCTGTGACAGGTGAGAGAGTCAGCACAAACCAAGCAGGAAGACGGGGGGAGACACTTTGAAAAGCACATGCAGAGATTTAATCAACACAGCCATTCAAGTGGCATTTCAATTTCCTCCAATGCTGACCAGCATGACAAGAACAAAGGAAACCAGGTGCTCGTCTGCCGTGTAAATAAGTAAGAGGCGACGCACGAAATAATAGACAAATAACAAAAAAGCAAATATGTGCATTAGCACACACGGGAGTCCAAGTCAAACTTTTACTTCCACGCTGGAAACGGCTGCCGCAAGCCTCCGCATCGCCGTAGCTCAGTAACTTTGGAGCATTTTACTGTCATGCTTCCAGGTATGTGTCATCGCCGTCATTAGAGGCGACTTGCGTTTTAACAGATGGGGAGAGGCCTGGCAGTCATTTGTTTTTAAGACCCAATTAATCTTCAGCGGGATGGGAAAGATAGCACCCCGATGCAAAAAGGGATCCTTCTACCCGATAATTGCAGGCAGTCTCGGGCCGAGTTTCCCAGACAACAGGGTCTGAAATTTAATTATCTGCTCTTTGGGAAAACGTAGGGAAAGAGAGCTACAATGCAAAACTGCACTTTTGGGCAAGTAGTGTCACAGAACACTAAGCACAACCTCCCTGCTGCCACTAACGAGACACCAATGGACTCATTGAACTTTAAACAAATAAAATAAAATGCTCATGTAAATGCAGACATAATTTTTTTACGATCTCTTGACATGTCACAGTCTTATCATCTACCATGTGCAGAGTAAACCCAATCACTTCCATAGTCCACTCAATCGCAGGAGTGTTGCTTTACTGCGTTTTGGGGGGTTTACATTTTTTATTAAAAAAAAAAAAATCATATCCGTCAAGCTCCATGACATTATGGACCCACTACGAACAATGAAGCCGGACTCGGAGCAGCTCAAGACAACACAGGCGGTGGCAACATGAACATTCCGCCGTGTGCACATCAGGCGCTGGTTTGGTTTGGGGGGCGGGGGGTGGGGGGACATCGATAGGATCCCATTAGTTAAGTGTGCCCTTAGGTTACTTAGAAATTTGATCAGAGCTAGACCCTCTCCTCCCAGACACGAACCATTAGACGTTATGGCAACAACAACTAAAACGAAAGAACGAAAAAGGAGCTGCTCTCCTCGCGCGAAGCTACCACCTCCTGCACGCCTCCTCCACCACCTCCCCTCGGCGGACTGGGTTGTGCGGCAGCATCAGGATGAGCACTGGGTGACGTCAACCTTTTGTTTGTCACCTTTAACACTCGCCGTCGCGAGGTCTCCTCCGGCGTTACGTGGAGACGTGCTGTTCACGCGGGGGACGGCGCGAGCGAGGAGCGTGCACAACATCTGGATCACGAGGGAGGACGACATGAGGGTGCGTGCGTGTCCTAATGGAGACCATGGGACACCACCAGTGGGAGACAACATGCCGGACGGCTATAGCGTACTTTACAAAGCAGGAGATAAAGCACACGTCCAACTTCGTAACCGCGGAAAAAAGGAACTTAATGTTTCTCTCGAAACAATCGGTTCCATGTCCATGAGAATCAGTGAGGAGAATATATCAGGGGGATGATTTGGCAGGCCAATTGAGCTCTGCATCACCCTGACGGGTTGTTATCGCATGCAACAAAAAGAAAACTAGCAAGAAAGCTCAACTACACATTCAGTTTCATTCAGTTAACACCAGCTCGTAGCAAGATTTTAAAAGGCTCCTTCGGTGCCTGAATAACATTTGTTTGGCTCATAAAAGACAGTTGGAGCCGCCAGGGCTTACAGTGGGCAAGGGGGCACTACCGGGGGGCAGTTCCGCGGATATACCCCTGCGTGGTGCCAGTCGGGTAGTGTGCCAGCTGACTGCCCGGGCTCCTGGCTAGCTAACCTAGCCAGGACGTACACAGTCCCATTGTTGCCTTCTCCGGCGTTCCTAATATTTATGCCACGATTCAAGAGGATGCCACGCGGTGTCAGGCAGCGGCCGTGTTATCAAGATACAACTCAAGATACTTACTCTCCGTTTAACTCTGCGAAAGCCATCGTTTAGTACGTCGCCATGGTTAAACGGACCGATTTTCTCCCGTTGCCTGCGCCGCCGAATCACTGCTGCTGCTGTCTGCGGCAGCAACTTCCGGCGCATGCGCAGCAACGTGGGGGCGTGCCAGACTCTGGTGACGCGCTGCGCAGGACGGCCGGGAGGTTTAAAGGGACAGTCGGTGTGGGCTTTAATTGGAAGGCTGTTATTATCAGGACTACACTGTAGTGTTATCAGGACGTTTACCAAGCGGAAGGTGAAAATAACATGTTAAATCATTGTGCCGACTGCGAGACGTAAAAGTACATGTGAATCATTGGATGTATTCATATTTCAATATGTTTGTGTTAACGGAAATGTACTACGACTTAAATTAAAATGAAAATCCCCCATAATCTTGGCTATATTCAACTATTCGCATTTAACAATGAGTAAGTGTCTTTTTGTAGCACTTTGTTTATCTAATAAATGTTGCAGCTTTTATTCTTAGGATCAATTGCGACTGTAAGACAGTGTACCCCTCATCTTTCTGGTGAAATCAATAATCCCCACCTTTGACGTTGGTATGGAAGCAGATTTGTTATACAATAATGACGTAGCATTTAGTAAGCAATAATAAGTTATAACATATTTCAGTTGGAAAAAAACAACTTAACATTTCTTACGGTAATGGGCATCACAACCCTGCAGAGCAGCTTCAATGTGCATTAATGGTTTCACTTTTGTTTGTTGGATTGACTTGAGGTTTATTGGCGGTAGTGATTTGACATTTTGCTCTGGATTCATCTCTCATGATTCCGTTGAAGGGATCAGGTGACTTTGAAGGCCATTCACAAATCATTTTCATAACCATCAAACCATTCAGTGAGCCTTGATGCTCCAAAAGCAATATTTATAAAGGTCACCATATTACTTACTTACTGAGCAGCACTGAGAATCAGAGCCATTTATTTGCATAAGTCTATTGGGAAATTGTCATGGTGGGTGGTGCATACATTGCATTGAACAAAAGAGAATCATTTACAGTTAAATTAACAACAGAATATAAAAATAATATAAAATAAAATATATATTTTGCTCGCTTCAGGGTACTTGAAGTGAACAAGTCCTGAAGAGACAGCAGATTGCAGCCGATCACCTTCTCTGCAGAACAGATGACACGCTGCAGCCTGCTCCTGTGACGGTGATGGCGGAGCAGAGGATGGACTCAATGATGGTGGTGTAGAAGTGCATCATCATTGTCTTCCAGGAAACGAAAGGACTCGACAGCGTCGACGGGGGAGTCACCCGAGGTAATGGGGGAAGGTGGGGCTGCATTCTTCCAGAAATCCACAACGCAAGATGTTGCCTATACCGTAACAATAAACCTAAATCAATTAAAATACAGCACCATAATTTAGGTGAACAGACTCTTTAAATTAAACCCCCTGAGGAACCAGTGTTTCTGAGGAAGTCACAAATCTCTAACTCACTCAGTCATTTAATACTGATAATCATTCGTGTTTGCATTAAAGCACACATCTTGTTCATGCGTTTGACTGGTCCAAATACTCATCTGGTACACCGCCTCGCCTTGAGCTGTATCAACCTTACACCTTGCATCGCTGCGCTCTGCACACATCGTTCTGTGAATCTTGTGTGGGTAAGACAAAAACCCAGAAAGAAGACTCTGCGTTCAATAGTGTCACATGCTTTGTGATTTGATGAAAGGTTCTATTTGTGCAGCCTGGTGTGTGTGTGGCTCCCTAATCAAACACTTATATTTCTGTGACAACCAAAATAAATGACTCCATTACAACCACCCACCTGCCCTCTCCACAGTATTGATGTTGTTTTATTACCAGAGAGAGACAGATGGACGATAGTGAACATTGTGGCAAGTCCTAAAAATGTGTGACCTCACTACGTCATGTTATGTCAGGCTAGAACCTGCACAAAAGTAATCAAATGACCTAGAGGGAAAATTACAAACGTTCAACTCCAAAAACAGTCCTGAGACCACGCACGGTGCAGGCCTGGGCTCCAGTACGGACCGGCCATATTACAATACTCCAGGCATGCAAGCTTCACTTCCTCCATCAGCAAGTGAAAGAGGGGAGAATTCGGTCTGAAAGCCCAATCACACGGAGCGCTCAGAGTTCAGCAGGTGGGGAAGTAGCAGCAGCGGGATCCATCACGTAATAATACAAAGTTAATGATGCCGAATGGTGTCTTTCTCCATGCCGAAAAAGACGTCAATACGGGATGTTTAAGGACGCTGTTCCTAATTACACTTTTTATATTCACCACCGACGTGATTGATGATTTCAAAGAGAGGCTTTATTGATCCACTTCACAGACAAGTCCCGTCGATTGCAGGTCTAGAATGAATAAAAGTTTCTCACCCCCTTTATCTCCCCCACCGAGCGAGAGATTGTACAATCAGAGCATCAGTGTGACCTATATGGGTAATTTGGGAGCTAAATCACCTCCTTTTAAAACACAGACGAATGGAGTAGTGATTGCTGAATGGAGGGACCTTGGGGGACCTTTGGGGCATCAGGCAAGAAGTGACAGTGAAATATCACCGTTTTCTCATTCCTTGTGGGAAGGTTCATCCATCCACCCACTAATCTGCGGGAGCCTTTGCTAATAGCACATATCTACGTTGGACTCCGCGGCGTGAAGAAAGTTCAGGAGCTGCTGTTTCACAGAGAGCCAGCTGCACAGCATCACGTCTCTCACAGCAATCAGCGGTGATGGAGCGATGGAGCGGAGGATGCTCTGACGCAATGACAGATTGGGTTTTTTTTTGCTTCCTTTTTAAGTTGCCCCATGGCATATTACTCTGAGAACTTTGGTATTCATGAGCAGGCAGATCTTCCTATTACTGCAGAAGCTGCCAGTAACTGCATGTCTAATCCCAGCACGTGTTATCAACAAGAGGCTCTTTCAGAGCACAGGCCCATGTGAAAGAAAGTCTGACATATCCAGCAGAGAAATGCTGTATATTCAGGGCAATTTGACCTATCCCCCATCAATACAGAGAGTTTAGTTTAAATTACAGAAAACAAAATTGATTAATTGACAGCACAACAAATTGGAGCAGCACAGGGAGGATTTCCATCACACCGCGGTGAATCTCATTGGCAGGTGCACTTCAGATGGAAAAGTGCGCTACAGCTTATGATTAAATGGTCTGCAGGCGAAGCCTTTTGTCTTTTTTCGTGGAGAGCGAGAGAGAGGGAGAGAGAGAGAGGAAGAGAGAGAGAGAGCTCTTTCTGAAGGCCAAAGTTAATGCAGTCATAGAAAGAACTCTGATACCCTCCCACGTAAAATGGCCATGTGAGGAAAGCCCGGAGGGAGAAAAGGGCCTTGAATGAATTTGAGAGGGAGAGAGAGTGGGAGGGAGGCCGATAGAGAGAAAGTTCAAACATTACTGATCCTCAAATATCCTTTTGGTTTCTAGTTCAATTGGAAATTTGGCAGTAAGTGTCTGCTAAAAGCTCCATTTTTCGTTTCCCCTCTAATGCTGCCGAGCTTTTAGAGTTAGATGATGACAGATTGTGAGCTACCTGATATCCTTCATCATCCTCCCCAGTGGAGGTTTGTTCCGCCCTGAGCAAGTCCTCGAGGACTCACAGCCGGCGTGTTTGATGGACTGCGGGGAGACATCTGCTCTGCCTGGCTTTGCCACACAGAAGAAAACAACATGTTACAGTAATCAATCAATATGCAAAACGGTGTCCATTTAGTGTGACAATTAACCTTACAGACATTATATCAGCTTGTCACCGGGAATTAGCGCTGAGGAGCTGCAGGGTGTGAGCTCCTGCTGTGTTTTTTTTGCCTCGAGCGTGGATGTTCGATATATCCTCAACAACACTGACACCGCTGGGCATCAAGCCCCCCCGGGTATGAGCTCTGTTTTTTTGTACTCAAGGGACGAGGAAGGGATGGAGAAAAAAAAGTCTGCACGGTGCAGAATGATTTGTGGTTATTGACGCACCATCCCTCACAAAGTCATCCACAAAATGTCCCCCCAGTCTAAAGATCCTTTGAGCGCTCTCATTGATTTTGAAATCTGTGTTGCTCAAGTCGGCGATGTGTTTTGTGCATATATATATATATATATATATATATATATATATATATATATATATATATATATATATACACACACACACACACGTTGGCTACATGCACATGCAGCATAAGTAGCTTACGTGACCAGCACTTACTTCCAGTCGTGTTCCAACTCATTTGGTCCTGAAATTGATGCCAAATCCCGTGCATGTCTAACATATTTTGGTAATACATGTTCCCAGTCGCCAGGGGGCGCTGTAGGCTCCACGCGAGCATCCGCGAGCACCTTCTTCACAGCGGAAGAAGTCTCCTCTTCGGTCAAGGCAACATGGTTCCCCCCGGCAGTCAATGTGAACGTAAACAAGCGGTTCACCTCTGAAACGACTGACAACCGTGTCGCATCGTCTCCGCGAACAGAAGCGGTCCAAATGGCTCTCAGAGTGTGCGGTCGCCTCCTCCGAGACGGCGCCGTCCTCTCCCGGCTGGCGGCCCCGGAGGACCGGGCGTCACGGCTCCTCGCGGCGGGTCAGTCGCAAAGCGCGTCCGCTTCAATCCACTCGAAGCAACGTGTAGAGCTGCTTGCTAAGAGATACACGGGATTAATGCGAAAGACGTTTACTGCGTAAACATGTATTTAAAGGGAGCAGGGTGAGAGAATACAGAGAACAGTATCTACTGTACATTATACTGTACACTGTATAGTACATATATTAGTGTATTTATACTGTACATTATGTATATAATATATATATGGATCGAGCAGAGTAAATGAATAATGGTGCCAATATGAGAGGTGAAGAAGTGGGGCTCTACGTAAAACTAGACCTACACACGTGGTACTTAAAGCCCCGCCCCCACTCACAGGCGTGTGTCTGTTTCATGGCTGATTCAGCTGGATGTCCGAGCTTCACTGTGCACACCAAACTGCTGAAAGAGGAACAGCTCTTCTGTGCTCACCTCGAATCGGAGGTTGATGTGTGATCTCTGAAACTGCCCTGAACAATAGACAGGATGGACTTTATTTATTAATAAGCAGAATGTGGCTTGAATCCACTGGTCACGCATGTGTTTTTCTGCACACACATGCAGGGCAATCGCTCTACAACACCTTGTACCTTGTTCCTGCACAAGATTTTAGTTTTAGTTAACTCCAAACCGTAGTGATATAATAATCACTATTATATATAATAAGCTCTAGTTTGATCACCAACGACAATAACAATACTTCATGGCTCATTAGCTACAGGCAGAGTTGTCATTTTTGGGGTAAAACAGTTTAAAGCTTTTAACGGTTACATTTCTGCAGTTCCCAGGTAAATGGTAAATGGCCTGTACTTGTATAGCGCTTTTCTAGTCTTCTGACCACTCAAAGCGCTTTAACACTACATGACATCATTCACCCATTCACACCCATTCATACACTGATGACAGGAGAACCATACACAGTGACACCTGCCATCAGTAACTACCATTCACACACTGTAGTCGCAGCTACAGGAGCAATGTTGGGTTAAGTGTCTTGCCCAAGGACACATCAACATGCGGGTTAGCCGGGCCTGGGATCGAACCCACAACCCTCTGATTGGAGGACAACCGTGCTCCCCACTCACCCACAGTCGCCCAGCACTATCTGTGCTGTCCTTCTGAGGGCTCTGTAATGAATTTATTGACTTTAGGAGGAGATTCACACAAAGCACTACTCTGCATGCAAAGTGAGCACATTGAATCAGGCAGCCAGGTGATGGAGATGTTGATGTCTTTACAGGAAGGGCGACCCGCGGCCGAGGGGGGGCGGCCGGATGCATCTTCACACCGGCTTGTTTCATTACATCAGAGGCGTTTCTCAACAGGCTGATTAAAGGCAAAGCAGCCGAGGAAGACGGCGCTCTCTACCGCCTTCCAGCCTCGGTTCCGCCGGACAGCGGTAATCCCATCAGGCGGCCTCCGATATTGCGATCAAACTCAATAATATGATGCCATACTTACTGTTACAACGCCACCAGTGATACGTTCTGTTTGTGTGTTTTCAGGCGAACAAATGTCTTTGTTACTGAGACATCCAGATCAACCTGACAACCCAAAGGTTTTGAAAGTGGCCGTTATTGGCGCCCCAAATGCTGGGAAGTCCACACTGTCCAATCAGCTCCTTGGCATAAAGGTGTTTGTCTCAAGTGTCCTTCTCTTGAACCCGCACACATGGAGGTCACTTTGTAAAGCCAACAATTATCTCTTCAAGGTGTTTGCTGTATCCAAGAAAGTGCACACAACGCGGTCCCGAGCCATGGGCGTCCTAACCGAGGATGACACGCAGATCGTAAGGGCGTTCTTGTGTCTTTTCTGGTATAATACAACAACTATAATATATAAATATAAATATATATACACACTTTTGAATTGAGTGCTTTTCATTTTTTGCAGATTTTACTGGACACTCCCGGTCTCACCTCTGTATCGAAGGTCAAAAGGTGTGTTTTGGTATCCTCAGTCAGCAGTCTATACGCAGTGAAATCACACAGTCTAGTATATGAGAGGACCCTCTGTTTCCACAGACACCAGCTGGAGAAGTCTCTGCTCACGGATCCCTGGAACACGGTCAAAGAAGCCGACCTTAGTATGTTGTAATTTTTCACTCTGAGCTTTTTAATTAGTTTCCTTTTTGGCACAGATTTAACGTTGAAAGAGAAACATGGCGCTGAGTTTCTGGGGCGTATAAAATGAGACTGTGTCCATTCCCAGTGGTGGTCCTGGTGGATGTATCGGACAGATGGATGTGCAGCAGGCTCGACTTCGAGGTGCTCAAATGCTTGGCCCAGCACCCCGACATCCCTGCTATCCTGGTGCTCAATAAGGTATTCCTCCCCAGATTGATACAGGACCAGTCAATGCAAGTTAACACCTGGATCTTAAAAGGGTCATGGATACCTTGAGAGTAATTTCAGTAAACTTTACTTACATAGGAGACGTTACCGGATTCATTGGGGATTATTTTAGAGTCCAGATTAATCAATATGGTGCTCTATTGAGTATTTACACCAGCAGGTTGGTGTACGTGAAATCAAGCCTGTCGCCATGTTACTTTTGTTCATTTATTGATGTTTTGGGGCTTTTCTTTGGATCTGTTGACAATCAGAAACATCTAGATTATCGCAGGACTCGAGCAATTACCCAAAACATTTAAAGAGTTCTGTTCCTCTGTTCTTCAGGTCGACAAGGTCAAGGCCAAGGACCGGCTGCTGAGCATCACGGCCGAGCTGACGTGCGGAGTGGTGAACGGACGGCGAATGCGCGTCAAGCCGGCGATCAAGCCACCGTGGGCTGAAAGAAGAGAAGAGAAGGATTTTTCGGAGTCACCGGCTGACGATGACGGCACGGAGAGGCCCGCCGATAGCGCGGGGGATCACCGGGGCAGCGACGGGCCGAACTCCGCGCTGCGCAGAGAGCAGCTGAAGGCGCTGAGTAGCCAGCGGGGCTGGCCTCTCTTCAAGGACATCTTCATGCTCTCCGCTGTGGACAGAGAGGACGTGGAGACGCTGAAGGTAAACAAGACAGCAAGTCATAAGTTCTTCTTGCATTATCTTTTAAACGACTGATAACAGAACATACTCGGTGCAGCTTATCTGTATGTCTTTAGCTCAGTGCCGTTTTTATTTTGTATCAGTTAGTTTTGATTCGATGGCATTAACCATAATTCCATATCTTTCTTTTCTATCTTGTCGCCATAGAAATACTTCATGGCCGGGGCCAAACCAGGACCGTGGCAGTACCACAGTGAGGTCCTGACCGACCAGAGTCCAGAGGAGGTCCTCAGCAACACCATCAGGGAGAAGCTGCTGGAGTACCTGCCCCAGGAAGTGCCCTATTCAATGACACAGGTGAAGCAGTTAGTGCGAGGACCTGCTGTGAATCAGGCGTGATGATAACCTGACTGACTCCACCCATCACTTCGCCCCTACACTGTTTATTTAATGCCTTTTGCACTCAATTTTACTCCCTGTGTTGACTTGCGCTCCGTTGAGGATTTTGGCATCAGTATCCATCTGCTACACCTTTTATATTTATATTGCTCCCTGCATGTTAATTATCATGGATTCTTTCTGCTGATTCTATTTACTGCTTCTGCAGAGTCCCCAGAGCTAAAGGTGTTTCATCGCACCCTCTGACTGACACACACACACACACACAGATAGGCTCACCGGCCACTTTATTAAGTGCACCTGTTACTTTCAACAAAGTGTTGAAAACATTCCTGAGAGATTTTGGTGCATATTAACACAATAGAATCACAGAGTTGCCGAAGATTTGGCGGCTGCACATCTATGATGCAAATCTCCTGTTCCACCACATCCCAAAGGTGCTCTATTGGATTGAGATGTGAGAACTGGAGGCCATTGAAGTACAGTGAACTCATTGTCATGTTCAAGAAACCAGTTCAAGACAATACGAGCTTTGTGACATGGTGATGGTGGTGGTGCTGCTGCATCCATCAGAAGATGGTACACTGTGGTCATAAAGGGATGGACTTGGTCAGCAACAATACTAGTAGTCAAATAGTTTGACGCACAATCCCAATCTGCACCCGTAGGCAATCACAGAATTTGAGGCGCTCCCGGGTTTAGGGATGTCCCATTGTCAAATGGTTGAGGGTTCGATGGCTCTCCGGCCGACATCATGCAGCCTTTCCGTGGTTCAGCATTGGATGGTGACTTAACCCCAAGTTAATTACCCACTGAGTTCATTACCCATAATAAAATGAGACGTTCAAATCAGACAGTAAAACGTAATAAATAAATACCCTTTATTGTATAATAAGTCATAGTTTTTGACGTTGTCATGGTGACGGGACATGTTGCAGCAAAGTGCTGTCGCATTCATTTTTACACCATTTAAAGCCCTCACGACTCTCACGCTCAACTACTTACCGGGTGACGTCAGTGAAGTGCTTAAGGGTTCAGGGTTACGGGGGGAAATTGGGACCTCGGCCCCCTGTTCTCAGCTGACAGGAGTGGCACCAGGTGTGGTCTTCTGCTGCTGTAGCACTTTTTCTTCACAAAAAAAATAAAAGTTCTGGGATATTTGGCGGTGGTCACGACTCTCAGCCAACGGCTGCTGTTTCACAGTGACCTCATGTAGAAGTTATAATAATCAAAAGATTTTCCCTTTCAGTCAATTGAACTCTGGCAAGATGGAGAAAACAGCGAGCTGGACATTTGGGTGAAACTTTATGCAAAGAAAGACACTCACATGGTAAGTGCGATGGGGACACTGAAATAAATGTTCTCTCCTGGTCTTGAATCAGCCGTAACATGAATGCAGCAGGAACAGACGACTCTGTAAGAAGTACCGCTGTTTGAAAGCTGGAAGTGGAGTCTTTCCCTCCACCTGTAGCCTCTGATGGGTTCTAATATTTATTTTCCATTACACAGTTTCTCCACATTCCTTTCTTTGCCTTGTGTTTTTAACTTTGTAAATATTTGAGCAGACTTTCGAAACCATACATATTTGATGAAAAAGAATATTTGATCCTGTATCTTTGGTGCTGAAATGCTTGCATCTTTCTGCAGGAATGTCTGCAGAAATCTCCTCTGTGTAACAAATATTTTCTGGTATAACAATAAGTCAACTGAGATTACATATCTATCAATTTGTGAGCTTGTTGCAATGCCTAAGATAAAAAATAAGCCTTGGACAGAAGCCTCAGTGACGCTATTCAGTAGATATTTCAACAAAGAATTCATATTATGCTAAATGGACCAAGCATCTTTTATAGAAAGCACTGGTAAAACCTCTGGTTCTATATGTGTGCTACTGGTGCCTGATGTATTTCTTGTGTGTACAGAGGATGGTGATCGGCACAGCCGGTCAGATGGTAGCGCGCATCGCCCAGGAGGCGAGTGAGGACCTGACCCGTGTCTTCCTGAGGGAAGTGAAGCTGAAGCTTACAGTCAAGCTGAGGAAGTGAAGAGCGATGGAAGGACTTTAAATGGTGGAGAGGCGACTCATTGTCCCTTCAAAAGACAGCAGCCCAAAGCGGAACAAAGGATAAGATCCCACCAAGGCAAACTCAAGTTTGACACATCTGCAGACTGATGAACGTATTCACATTAAAAGCAGGCCACAATGCTTGTAAAATTGAATTATTGGCCTTTATTTAGCCGAGGTATATTTTAGGCACCGAACACGACACACACTCCCACCAAATGGATGTTTTGACCCTGTGTATCCGTGGATGAGCAGGTCCGGTGACCTGTGAAGAGGCCGGTGGTTTATCTCTGCCTCTCAGAGCGAGCGAGCCTCCACAGTCATGTTCACTCAAACGTCCCTGATGTACCATCCAGCCCTGTTCCCTCCACTCCCACACCACTTTAGCCCTCTCTGCCGCCTTTTCAAGTGTGGCCATCCATCCCCGCAACTATCACTTTTTTTTTCTTCTTTTTTTTGTTACGCCGCTTTCTTCCCCCTTTTCTCTCGTCCTGCCCCCCACTCAGCTTCTTTTTGGGCTCTTATAAAGCCCAGCTCGGCCCCCAAGGGCCGAATCGTCTTCCTAATGGATGGCAAAATGGAGCACTAACGCAATGCTAAAATGGGTCAGATAATGGTGATTGGATTCGTTCCCGCTTGCCTGTGAGGTAACTCGGCAGTTACTCTATCCGGGGCATCTCGCTGAATAACCAGCTAGTGGCCTAAAGCGCTGTGCGACAGGAGGGAGGGAGGGGAGGCTTTGGATGTCCCACAGAAGCTGCGTCAGCCCCTCAAGCGCTCCCCGCTCTGCGCTGCGGCTGCTTCCCGGTGATTAGATAAAGACGCCCTGCGCAGCGCAGATTCCCACTTAGACAAGCCAACTGCTGCTCGCTCGTTCTGCAGCCTAATGCACGTCAGCCAGCACATTAAAGGAATCCTTACAGACATTGTAGAATATTTGAAACCCTGACTTCAACGTTGTTTTCTAAATGAAAGTAATGAAGAAACTTTTTGTTTTGTTTTGGGAACCACAATGTTTATTGACATGCGGATGCCCTCCAGGGGTTCACATACAACACGTCCATCACACAACTCTCCTCGTCCTCCCGGCGCAGATGACATTGAGCGAGGGCCGTATAACCCTTACCATAACTGAAACTCAGTAATGGTAACGGTTTGACGGCCTCTCCTCTGAGCAGTCGGTTAGCGTGCGCTGATGGTGTCGGCGGGGGGAATGAGACCCTGGATAGTACATCATCTATACTGTAGTGTCTCTTTAATAAACTTACAGTATAAGATGATATCCTGTCCGGGGCACAAGACATAACAGTTAGCAGCAATTTCCTGTGTTTGTGATCTGCAAGGCGGAGGTTGACGGCTCATAAGTGATGCTCGGCAGAGAAGGTCAACCAGTGAAAATGTTAATCATCTGGAAAAGATGGTATTTTGGAGCGAAAAAAAAAGGAACGCCTTCAAATGCCAGCCAGAGAAATAATATTTTACAGCACTAAAAAAGAAAAGAAAATGGGAGCGCTGGAAGCTGCTGCGGCGCCACGAAGCGCCCTCTCCTTCTGTGTGTGTTCTCACCTTCTGCCGTCGGCCCGGTTCTGTGGCCTCTGCGTGTCCACGTCTGGAGCTTCTCACCCTTCTGGCCGCTGGCCGCCAACACTTAAAGGCCCCCGGGCTCATTAGCATACTGTGATGGCATCTGGGGTGGACCAGACAGCAGGGGGTGAACTTTTTCTTATCTAGTCCTGACCTGTTTGCCTCTGGCCCGATGATTACCCACACCCTGATTACACACGGCAAGAACTACACATTGTTCCCCGTGTGTATCTCTTGCTTCATGTATCATGTTAGAAAGTACAACTGGGCAAAAGCAAGAATGAACTTATAAAAAAAACAACCTTTTTTGAGCAAACACTTTTCATCCATTTGTTAATATTTTAGGAAAACATTTTTTTTCATCATTTACCATTTTCAATGAATTAATGTAATTTTGTGCCATTTTTGTTGTTGTAGTAATCAGTTTGACTTGCAGCAGCCATAAAAAAAATGCTTTAAATGTTTGTTATATTTCCCCGAATATTATTCATGTCTGAACCACTTTGCCGAAATCTCTGGTGAGTTTAGGCCTTTCTTTATCAAACGTGTGTAATTGAAAGCTCCCAACAGTAAGCCAAAACAGCCATTAAAGAGCGTGGATGTGGTAATGCATCTTCAATCCGCTGAATCTCACAGCCTTGTGATTTATGCGTGATGGTCTTCATGGGTTGCAATTTAGTGCTGCGATATGTCAGCTGATGTCATGTCATCCGAACTGTTTTTCCTGCACTCAGCTAGATTCCAGGAATTGGAGAGGAGCTGCGATGATCTTTTTTTTTTTATGAGATGTGTTAGTTGACACCGCTTGTCAAATTCAGAGCATCAAATTGTGCCTGTGCGGCGATCACGCTGTCGTTTGTCTTCTATCCCTGACATTTTGTCCCTTACTTATAAGGCCATTTTTGTCTTTGCAGGGGACTTGAACTGCGACATTATGCTCTTTAGCAATGTCCGAGTTAGGCGGGACATGGCAGTTACCATGGTAACGCCCTCCCCATTCAGGGTGTGGAAGGTCATCTTGTGGACACAGATAAAGGTGAAAGTAGGACTATCCTTCCCTCCAACCCCTTATCTGCTGCAGCAATATAGCACTTTATCTACACATTTTCCATTTGCGTTCATAGATACGTGTTTTTAAGTTCTCACCTCACACGTAGAGATGAAAAGGAGGAAGCTCTCGTTACGACATAATTATGTTTCATTCAGAGTGCTCAGGAGAAACTTGTTGGGGGGGTTAATCCAACTGTTTGCAGTTAGCTGAATGGGAGAACAGCTTTCTCTGAATATTTTTCTAACATCTCAAGTAGAGGAATTATTTAAGTAGCCATCATGTAGTGTCCATCACCCTCATCCCCGTGCCTCCATCACGTTCCTAGCTTTGTCTTACCACGCCTTCCTTTTTTCTCTTTCATCTGAACCTTTTTTATTTATCCGCCACTAACCATGTTCGTGTTTCCACGTATGTGAGGAACATCTGGCCTGCAGTAATGTGAGCCACATCGTTTTTATGTTCTATCTTCCAGGTTCAAGTGTGAGGGCCCCAGACGGAGCTGTACACCAGTTAAAGTCTCTACCAGTCTGGCAGGTTAATGCTGGCACTTATTCTACACTGTGGATCAGGTCTCCCATTTTGATCCGTTAATGCATTTTGAGTTTGATCGACTTAAGATAAAAGCCCTTTCATGTTGCTAGAAACCCCGGGTATCCTTCAGAAGCGTCGCGCGGATCGGATGTTCTGAGACGCGAGAGAGGATTTCTCCAGTGGCATCAAATTCTAAGTTGTATCCATTTTTATGCACTAACATTTACATTTACACACTGACATTTTATTTCATCTTTGGCCACACGTTGGTTTTGTTTGAAGGAAGTGTATACATTTCTTTTTCACTATTTTTCCTGACTCAAATAAGTTCCCAGATTATTCATGTCCGATTCTCCTACAGTACAGAAATAAATAGTAAATGATCTTAAACGGTTGCCTCCACTGTGAGACATCATTTGCTCGTGTGAACACACGAGCCGTTGACCCTTGTTGTAGTTCTAGGATGAGCGCTGGTAGTGGAGTTTGTTTCTGCAGCCTCCGTGTCCTCTGTGAGGGGACTGCCCTCTTCAGGTGGAATATGGACTGTGAGTCGGCCATTTAAACACGTTCCCCTATCAGCTGCATGGCCGCTGGTGGTCTAAAGACACGCACTGCTCACATGAATCATCATTTCTGTTACGTGCCAGCTCCCCAACTTAGGGAGGAATACGACCGTGGCACAGTAGGGAATGTCCTCTGGTGAGGAGGGTGTCCCGCTGTCCCAAAGCTAAGCCTCTGTGACTCAGTGCTCGTTTTGCCATAACAGCGTACACATTATCGTGGAAGTTTATTTGAGAAGTCGGGCCTTCGCAGTCCTATTATCTGGAATAAACGAACAGAGAGGCCAACAGGATGTGGTATAATGTTTATTATAGGGTGAAACACAACACAGAACAACATGAAGACGTGCATAAAATGACAAGTTAACCAAAGGCCAGTGTGAAGCCACAAGATAAATCCACAATATATATATATATATATATATATATATATATATGTGTTATTAATAGAGATAACAGATGATTTACATGACAGATGGACATGTTTCAGGTGAAGAGTTAAGGCGTAGGTCTGTCTAGTGTTTGGTCTTTAATCATGCTCTCCAACATTTCACTTTGAGCAACAGAAGGTTGCCTCTTTTCTTATTAGACAAATCAAGAAATTGTAATTTTGGCACAAAATAATGTTCAAACAAATGAAACACTTTGAGAAGTCCAGATACCAAAAGTGAAGCTATTTATTACATTGTTATTAATTTACCATTTAAATGGTATATATATATATATATATAATGATGTTCCTCTGTACATTTAGATCACAGAATGTAAAGTTAATAAACAGAAAAGGCAGGAAGAATAACCGTACAAGTGAACATTATATGGATGTTTTAGAAGCAGGTCTCTGTTTTACAGTAACTCCTTAAAACTACTCCATTCTTAACGGTGCATCCGTGTGTGTTTTACCTCTTCATTATCTGACAAAGGCACTGTGTACAAAAACAATATACTTTTATAAGTAAAGGATTTATTAAGGATTTATTAAGTTAATGATTTAACCTTATGCCAGTGTGAAAACAGAACACCCAAAGTTTACTAAAAAAAAACACGGGAGTGGCCACTTTTTAAACCGTCTTAGATTCTGTAACTGCTCCAATCCTCATCTGAGATGTATTCATAAACTACAGTGAGACGGTAGCAAGTTTCTGTATTCTCAGTGATGATGACAACGATCACATTTAGAAATGACATTTGTCTCAACCCTAAAAGAACCTGCTGAGATGTGACTTCTCTCAGCATGTAAACAAGACCATGGTGATCTTGGCTGGTGGCCGATATCAGATGTAAAAAAAAAACAGGCAGCAACTCAACTTCTGGTGGGAAGTGTAGCATTTTTTTTGTCAAAAACAGAAACCAGATTAAATTTGCTCCGACCAAACGAGCCGCACGTTTATTCAAAGGGTGTAAAGGAAAACGGTGCCATTATAATAACTTCTTAACTTTGAGTGGCAGAATGAAAACAACACGTTTAAAAGGGTCACAGGTTCTGTTAAGTGGTCAATGATGATTCACAATGATACGGGTAAAAAGGGCAGTCCTCCCGGTCGGGTGATGTGGCAAAAAGTGCGATATGAAAATAAACACATTTTTAAACAACAAAAGGCTATTTCATATCAAAGAGCAACTAAACACGGGAACGTTCACTTCACTTTTGCCAACTGGCCTTCAACAGCTGAATGATTGTAACAGACTAAGTGATTGACCTGTAAGCAAGAAGAAAAAAACGCAGGAAAAAGCAACTGGTCCAACTGCACGACATTACATTTACCAAACTGAAGACCCCCCAACCTCCCGAACACAAACGCCACATCAACCTGAACACGTGCTCATCTTCCCACCTAACGCAACACCAAATTCCTGCTTTGTCATCACACATCGGTCGTGGTCAGATAAGCAACAAACCGGCAAGCTGCGAAATGTCTTAAAAGGTCATAAAATATGCTTACAGGCCGCAAAAAGGGAACAAAACACGTAGCACACGTGAGCAGGAGGAGAAGAGAGAGGAGTAACAAAACGAGTTAAAGCTCGGACCCTGAACGTCTACTATGTACTACCTGCAGTTAAAAAGGAAAGCTGGGTAAGCCTGACAGGCGCCCAAGGGTTGTCTTTTAAGGCTAATCTTCTCGAAGTATGGCTTCGTCTGATGCGTTTTGATTGGCGTTTGTATCTGCCTCTGTGTCTAAACACGGGATCATTGTTAGTACGAGCAGATGTTAGTAGAACAGGAAGCGAAATTAAAATATCATCCGTCTACGACGCATTAATATACTCGGACATCCGACTAAAACCAAACCACGGTCCTACGGTTTGGGCACTTGAGTGGTGAACAGGCACTGCACTTGAGAAGGAGAAGACGAGCCGCCGGTGAACCGACGGCTAAGAACAGACACGCGCAGAGGCTGCAAATTCTACAGTCACAGTGGGAGAGGATCTAGGGAGCATTAAGTGTAACAGCGTTTTGGTAAACCATCAGGTTCTCCAAGTTGGAGTTGATAAATCTATAAAAAATAAAGAGTTTTAAAAGCAAAGAGGAAAGGAAAGCTGAACGCGCCGTGCTCAGTGGACTGCAAGTTACTTCACTGACTGAGACGTTCTGCTCCTAAAAACATGTCTTACACCCGACAGGAAGGAGGCGCACTTCAAACTTCCGCCAGAAACTTGAGCATCTCTGGAAGAATATGCAGATTTATTCTTAGTGTTAAGGACTGTTTCCAGTGTTTTTTCCTTCAAAAGAATCATGTTTAACACCTCATTCGAAGTGGGCCAACTCAAGACGTTTTCCCTCAAAAACACCAACAAGTCTCATTGACTGAAATAGTAGAAACAGCATAACATCCTGGGTAACTAGTGCAGTGTGACAAGGAACGACTGGTTGAGAACAGAACAGAAGATACATATAGACTGGTCCTCTGGAGATTAAGGCCCCAGATATTAAGCAACCTCTTAAAAATATATATATTTTTTAAACTTCTTGGCGGATGTCAAGTGTTTCTGGTCAAAGGCAGTTGCATACAGGGTCATAGGCTGACTCTTCAAAAAAAATACACAAAAAAAAATAAAAACTGTCATGCTTCAGGCAAATGAATGTCGAAGGCTTCAGAGAGACGAGTCTCTGGCCTGATTCTTCACATGGCTGTCTGGCACGGTGGGTTCATCATCTTCTGGAGCAGAGGGATCTGGGAATCACACAACAGGAGGATTAACTGGCTAGAAAAAACAGAGAGGGGCCTTGCTCACGAGGCTTTCCCCCCCACATGCCTGTTATCACCTCATAAAGGTGTTGTGATGACTGTGTTGCATTGTTACAGATGCAGATACATTGCAGATGGATCAACAACAGTATTTGTGAGCCTGCCGTGTATTTGTTGACACTCAAAGCTTGTCATTTCCAGCAATCACACAGGCGTCCTTGGGGATAACAGGAGGGGTCAGATGTCACAGACACACGCTCACCTTAGTCAGATCCACTCCGGTGAGGGCGTTGATGGACACGGGGAGCTCAGCCAATAGACGGTTTACCTCTCCGGTCACGCGGCTGCCATCTCCGCTCAGGATGACGATCTCACTGGTCCTGGCCAGAGGTGCAGCCACCTTACTGGCAATCTGATTAAAAAAAACGTTATGGTGTCAACTAGAGAAATAATAATTATTTTCATGCCAGCAGTGTACAAAAATAGATAAACATACCATAGGTAAAGCCTCCAGCACCAGAGCTGTCTTGGCCGCCTCGCCGTACTGCTGGTAGGCTTCAGCCTTCAGCCTCATCTTCTCGGCCTCTGCCTTGCCCACCGCTTCAATGGAGGATGCCTCAGCCTCGCCGATGAGGCGGATCTTGTCGGCCTCAGCCTGCGCCGTGAGCACCGTCTTTATCCTGGGGTGAGCCAAGCATCAAAGGCACTGTTTAGTGTTTACTGTGATTAGCGGTGAGTCATATACAGTTCAGTGATACATATGAATATAAAAGCCAGATTTACAGGTTTGTTGTGCTGACGTGTTTATTGATGTAAAACCATCAATAAACTAAAAATCTCTAGTTGTTATCTGACACTTAGAAAAACGTGTTATTCAAGTTAGAGAGTATATTTAAATCATGTGTTTAAAGTGTTGGTGGTGGGGCTCCATATGTCTACTTTTGGATTAAAGGCACCGTGTAGCATTTAGGGGGAGATATATTAATATTACTCATATAAAACAGTTTGTGTTTACAATACCTTGGAAGAAGCTGCTCAAATCTACATATGGGAACAGGCCGACGTGTTGCTACTACACGCGTGGCACATGGGAGATCTAAAACCTCACCACCGAATGCCATCGGACTACGCAGTGAACCTTTAACAGGTGTCATTAAAGGGCTAGACCAGGACAACCATCTGGGTTTTTTTCACATGCCTCCTTACGGTTTATAAAATAAAGTGTGCCAACATAATTAGCGGCTACGGAGACTGTAACACTTAGACAATGACGAGGGAAAGTCTGCAGTGGGAGCCACTCACTTCCGTCCCTCAGCCAGCTGCTGCATCTTGTAGGCTTCTGCCTCGGCGGGTCTCTTCACGGTGGCGACGAGCTCCTTTTCAGTACGAATGACCTCCTTCTCTTCGATGGTGATCTGCTTCTTCCTTTGCACCACCTCGATTTCAATCTCCTCCAGGCGGATGTTCTGCTGCTGTTTGGCCGCCTGCAGCTCGTACGCCAGCTGAGCCTCTGCTTTCTAGAGCGGGTGGAGGTTTTCATTAATACTTCACTTTCACGTTTAACCGTTGACAACATTCAGCTCAAAATCAAGTCCCAACTGTACAAATAATACCTTTGTGTTCACTTCCTGATTAAAGGAAGCTTTCTGCATTTCCAGCTCCCGTTTGGAGTCGGCCATTTTTGTGTCAGCCAAGAACTTGACATCCATCATTTCCCTCTTACACTCGGCTTCCTGGAAAAGACAGTGTGCATGACATTGTGACGTAATGATCCATGGCCGATGGATTCGGAGCGGCTGGTTGGTTTCTTAAGGCTACGGCTATTAGCCGCAGCAACAATAATCCGAGAACAGATGCTTTTCAATCGCTTATGTCTGACGTCTTAATAGCCTCCTAAAGCTCTCACCCTGATGCCAGCGTCCCTCTCGGCCTCTGCCACTCCGATGTCTGCGTCCCTCTGTACTGCGGCTGTCTGAGTTTTGCCCAGCGAGCTCAGGTACTCCACTTTATCATACACATCCTGTCAGGGGATCAATGAATGTACGGTAAGTAACTAACTTGTTCTAATTCAAATTGGATACAGATGTTCAACAGATGAATGCAGAGTGATGTGATCTTGATCTTTTCACCTTGATGGTGAAGCTGAGGATCTCGATGCCCATGCGGCCCACATCTGGTGATGCCACCTCTCGCACCAGAGTGGCAAATCGGTCCCGATCTTGGTAAATTTGCTCGACAGTTAGGGTGCCTGAGGGGACGAACACGGTGTCAGCACACATTCGCACATGATGTGTGCAAGTCAAACACATTTTACTAGAGAAGTTGACGAAGAGCTGAGTTGGCAACCAAACCGGCTTCCTGGCTTTTGGAAAATGTTCCTCCACAACTCGTGGTGAGGTTCTTATCTCAAACAGGACTAAAACTGCCTAAAATCACTACATATATAGAAATCAGCACGATTATTATTATGACGGCATTTATAATCTTCTGGGAGCCAATCATGTTCATATTATGATCACATCTCACATGTTTTGTTTCAAAGATAATGGAAGAGATGTCGTTTTTCTCTACGGGTCTCCTTTTTCTCTCAGAATATGAGCAACCGCTTATAAACTACACGGACTGTCTACAACAAAACAAGCGATAGCAAAAGGCCGTTGGAGAATACCTACCAAGGATGGCGCGCAGGTGACCCTCAAGCGTCTGCAGGATGACGCTCTTGATCTCAATGACCGACTTCCCTAGGAACTGTTCGCACGCGTAACCCAGCAGCTCATTTTCTGTCATCACCTTCACCTGGTGCCAACGTGGACAAAGAGCGTCAGCACACATTCACAAATTCACAATAGTATGTGCTTATGATAGCAAGCAAATTATGTATTTTCAATGAAATAGCTTCTCTAAACCTTCACAATGCAAAGATATATTCCCTGCTAGAGAAATTCAAATTTCACAAGATAATCCCACAAAATCCCAACATCCAAGCAAGATTCAGGGTAATACAGTCAGAATCTAAATTTAGCAATATGCTGTATGCTTCTGTTACAACATTGGAAATTACCTGAGCTTAATGATGTAAACACAAGGACATTCATTGACAGTAAGAGATGTCGCCTATACACTCAAGAAACCAAAAACAGATGGCGTAAAACACATGGTTTTGGGGGATATTGTACTCCGAGCTGTAAGAAAAGAGAGTGAACTGGGTCCTTAGGCGAGAGGTCCGCACGTGGTTTTGCTTTGCAACATGGACTCATACCAGCAATGAAGGCAATACAAAGTCAGGGTCAAGATGGATGTCATTCCAAGGAAACACATTTCTGAAAACAGAGGAGGCTGCAAGCCAGCCACGCACACTCACGCACACTCACGCACACTCACGCACACTCACGCACGCAGACAGCAGGGGGAGCTGTGCCGAAACTGACACAGGAACAGAGTCCTCTCTTGCAGTTAAACCCCAACCTCACCTACCGCACCCCGGCCCCCAGTCCCCTCGTGACACCACCCTTCCCCCTGCCTCCAGCTCTGTCAAGCTACACAAGTGCAGGAAATGAAATGGAACGAGTTTTGTAAGGTGACAGATGTGCACAGTCTTTCAATGTTCGGTTTTACTGCCAACTAACCACGAAGGCTGAGTAAACAAATATACTCCCACTGAGAGTCACATGGTCGAACATTAACGCTATAACGCTAACTTAAAGCAATATCGCAGATCAACACTCGACTTTACATCCAATCTGCTGGGTGACTCCCTCTTTCTCTAAACCTATTCCCCAAGGACAGTCCTGTTGCCATGGAACACTCGCTCCACAATGGCTTCTAGCTTAGGTTGGACTAATCAAACCGCCTCTTAAAAGGGAACTATGTGAGAGTGAGGGGCCGCTCGGCTCCCAAACAGTGGGCTCATTATCAGCATGCATGTAGGAAAACAAAGAAGAGACACTGGCACGACTGTGGTTAAAAGGCAGAACTGATAATGAGGCATCATATTTCAAACACAAAAGGAAAGGCTGGCATGCCGACAAAGGAAACAAACATGAGCAGAATTGCATTTGCAAACACAAATGCTAAAAATTAAATGTAAAGTTCTGCAAGAGAAAATCCACCGTGAAAAATCCAAAGACTGAATCAAAGAACTTTATTAATTGATTGGGGGACAGTACCCCTGTAGATGCTAACGGTATGTGTTTGGAAGTTCTGTTACCACTGAGAGAAACTCCAACACTGTGCAGTGCGTACGTTCTCTCCTTCTCTTCAAGGTGTCGACGGAAAGGTTCGCCCTGGTCTCGTGTCATTACTATTTACAGAAAATCAGTGTTTATCGTATTAAATTAGCGCTGACAGAGTGACAATCGTGGAGCACTAAACATTTGCTGTGGAGCTCCAGGAGCTTTGTCTTCATCATCTGGTACTGTTTTGTTTGTTTGAATCACGTCGTGTAAACAGCATTATTAATAGGTATCAGCGTTCATAACTTCTTTTCTTTTCGGTTTGGCAAAATCACCATCTACTAATAATAATAATTTACAATTTGTGTGTGTGGAGTACATCTGGATGCAGAGTTCTAGTATCAATGCTTGTAACAGTAAGAAACTAAGTCAAAGGTGGATTTTCTCTTTAACATAAAATAAGAGTTTGCACTGAACATGATCAAAACAACCAAATAGCAGAGACTATAAAAACAAAAATAAAATATTTAGATTGGCACTTAAATGCACATCCGGCTTGACACAGGCTCCTTCTCCTGTCACACCAGGAGCAGGTTCAGACTGAAAATAACACGGCCAACTAAATGCCAAGCGCTGCATATTTACGGTGAGCTGCTACAGGGAGCGACAGGACGATAGAATACAAATTAAGAAGTAGGTTTGAAGCTTCATCAGACAAATTAATTGTGTCGTGCCATTTAATTTAATAAGGAGTCTTGGTTTTCTTTGACTCTGCGCTACCGTCAGTCTGGAAGCAGGTTCACATTATGAAGGTATATTGCGGCAAATCACTGTCAAAATTCGAGAGCGTAAATCAGGTTGATTTAATAATGCGTAAATAAAACATCCGCGAGCAAATCTCCGTCTCGCGCGAGATATTTGCTCCCTCGCGAAACGTGAACTTCCTCGCTCGCGAGGTTAGTCTCTGCTCGCGCTCGAAGGAGTTTTCTACGCGCTCGCTGTCTCGTCCAGCTCGCAGACCGGTCTGTCAGTCTGAATCTGAATATCTTGCCAACTTTACCGAACTATGGAGGAGACTGCGCATATCTTGTATATCACATATCACATTCACTACAACCTAATTTTTTTTCGATCCGTATTGAAAGTTGGCAAAGTTGGAAGATATTCACAGATTCTGACTTTTTCCCCGGTATTTTAAAAATATGGACCGTTCTGCGAGCTGGACGCATTGCTCTTAATGTGCCTGTAATGGTAAACTATGGTTGTAGCTGGTTGTCATCTACGGTCCACTACGATTACCGAAGGGGGGCGTTTGTTTTTTGACAACGTTTTATCTCATAATTTCGACTTTCCATCCCCTTACATTAGTGCGGAAATGGGCTTCTATAGTTGTGTGAATGCATAACTCCAGCCAATCCAAAGACGCGGTTTGTAACTAATCAGGTGTAGAGACTATGGTGACTGGCTCTGCCCCCTTACTGTCAAAAAGAAAAACAGCTAGCGCGTAGAAAACTCCTTCGAGCGCGAGCAGAGACTAACCTCGCGAGCAGGGAAGTTCACGTTTCGCGAGGGAGCAAATATCTCGCGCGAGATGGAGATTTGCTCGCGGATGTTTGATTTACGCGCGCGCATCAACCTGATTTACGCTCTGGAATTTTGACAGTGATTTGCCGCCATAAAGGTACATCCTGCAGACAACATTTTCACCCAACATTTGTGTGTGTGTACATTGGACTCTGGCGGGCATCTTAACTTGAGCACTCTGTATGAAACACCACCTGTGCTGTGATTATGGGGTGATGCCGGGTAGGGGAGAGGTAAGGAAGGGTGTGTGGGGGTTAGTGGTGTCTGAACTGGCATTCCCAGAAAAGTGTAGTGATTTACCTGAGCCACCCCAGTGACAGTAATAGCTACACCCTCCGCTGTCTCTACATCCTCACACTTCGGCTGGAGGGTCATAATCTCAAGCGTTATCCTGTTGAAGAATGTGGAAAAATATGAAATAAAAATTGACGGAGGGAAAGCAAAATGAAGGGAAGGGCCAGAACACAAGGAACAAAACAGGACAAAGTGAAACCATTCACCCAAGGACTCCAGATCACTAACAACGGAGCAAAATGAGATGCTACCCACAACTCAAATTTGTGGGATTTGGATTTTTGCCATGATTATTTTCCATTCCATCTTTATTAAAATAGTTCAATTTGAATTTAAAATTGGGTTCCTCAAATCTTTTTTTTAGCTATTTCTATAGCCTTCATTTATTGACCCCGTTGCCAGAGTTCAGCTTTAGTTGCGAAGCCCAGGTTAGTGACAGCTGCCTGTCTCGCCTCCACTGCAGAAGAAAAGAAGCCATAGAGACGAGAAGAAGAAACGTTAGCATGTTAATTGAACCTTCTTTCCCGGGTCTGCCTTTGGTCTCCAGCACCAGCCGCTGCTGTTTTTCGGGGGAGGTTTTTTTTTTCATCTTTTAAAGTGCATTACCTGAGCCACCCCTGTTACATCCAGGGGAACACCCTCCGACGTTTCGATATTCTCGCAGCGACAGAGGATGGTCATAACCTCCAGAGACATTCTACGCAGGCAGGCAGGCGGGCAGGCGGGAATAGCAGAGGCAAAACAGTAAGTTGGACAACAGCTGTTAGGAATGTCAGTCACCAACGTCAAGAGAGAGAGGGAAGAGGGAAGGGGGTGAAGGGCACAACCAGACCTCCTGCTTTTCTGGTTGGAAGCCCAAAGGCTGTTTCAAGTATGATGCTGAGACATCTTTCAACACCAGGATGGTGACAGCTACAGCAGTGTCTCTCCTCTCTGTCTGTTACTACATATCTCAATCATATGGGACAAAGAGCAAGACCTGTAAATAAAAGGGCCATCGAAAGGAATTTTTGAGGGAAGCTCCTTTTTGGGATTAAATTAGAATGAAGATTACGTAACCCGAACCATCTTTATCCTCCGCCTCAGTCCAGCTGGATTGTTTAAAGGACAATAAGTGGATGCTGATCAAAAAAACGCAGGCGCAGCTTTGACTGACTCAGATTGGTTGTTGTAGACACGGGTGGCCGATTGCAGCTACGAGCAAGAGACTCTCTGGTTAGAGGCTCCGCTGCTGCTTTTAAAGGGAAACTGGATCGATGAGTCACATGCCCGGACATTAACATGATTACTGCATCATGAGCAGGAAGTCGGACGCTTTCCTCATGCATTTTAGCAGAAGGGGCCACGACTCCCTCCGGTTTCTACCCACCACGAAGGCGTCTGAAATGACCAAACTGAGAGGATTCTGGGGACAGCAGGTTTTTCTAAACGGGGGTTTATGAATCCAATAGCACTGCGGTTTATTGTTAAAGTATAGCGTTACGTTTCATAGCGACACTGACACTAAGACACTAAGAGCAGTCCCGAACGGGGAATGGGTCCCTGAAGGGAGACACACTGGGGCGTGGACGAGGGGAGATAAACACAAACAGCAAAGCAGGTTAGCAAAGTAGAAACAAAGAGACATGCAAACCCTAAAAGATACATCCTTTAAAAACCTGGAGCTCCACAGAGAAGGAGTGTTAGATTTGGCTTTTTGTTTTTAAGCTCCACAAAACACAAATTCTGTGTGTTCACGATCACATTTACATCCTTTGCTTCCGAGGCAGTGTGGGAGTTTATCCAACTACACGGACAACAATTATTATTTTTTTAAATATAGTTTTGTAAACGTGAAACTTTTTCTGACCTCGTCATTATGTATCATCTGTTTATCTTGGCAATGTTTTCTCAGAAGCTGATTTGTTGGAGGTGCATTTAAAAAAGGGGACAGAAACGACTCTGTTTACACATTTAGTAAACATTGGGTTATAATATTGCCTCTGTTTACCATGAATAACTTGCTTATTCTTCAATAAATTTAAAATAGGCAAGTTTCAAGAAAAACACACTTTTTAATGGGGTCTGCAGAGATAAACTTAAAATATCTACCGTATAACTACTTAACACAACTACGACGACACAATTCAAACATTTATTTAATCTTCAAAATAAGTAGACTTTTTCATAAATTCAACTATAATTTTCAGCTGTTTGGGTATTTTGAGTATTTATAGCACATAGTTTATGTAATTTTACTTGTAAATTAAATGCGGTTTCTATTTTTATTGTGTAGCTTATTTGTGTGTGTATTTTCAATGTAATCACCTAGTTGAATGGCAAATGATCAATAGTGATGTGAATTTCTAAAATACAGAAAGGAGTTTGTATATTTGCATTTTCTTTGCAAACCCATTTACTTCCCATTTTATTTTTGGTTTGGAGCCGGAGCAGAGAGGTCTTACCTCTGGATGTCAGAGATGAGCCACCAGGCCCAAGCCCAGCCCCCCACCACGTACGTCTTCTGATCCGAGCCACAGCAGCCACCTTTACAACCAAGCACAGGAGACCAGCCCGACTTCATTAGCCCAGAACTTTCATTCAAGCTGTTTGCACTGTTTTTGCACTCATATTGCATAATGACTTGATGACAGTTCAATGCTGTTATCATAATTTCTTTTTCAGCTACTAGCTAGTGGCAAAACATCTGTTATTGCAGGTTTAACATCACCAGTTAAAAGTAAAAAAAAAAAAAATGGGACTACTTTTGCCAACAATTCACCAGTGAGTGTGCAGTCAATAAAACACAGCCACACGAGCCGCACGCTTGTATACATGGAACTTCAATGCATGCAGTTCATTGGAAGGAATACATTTATAGTAATACTTATGATACATAGGCCCATTTGCAATTGGAGCAGCAGATTTGGTTTTAAACTTAAAGGAGTAGTTCGGTATTGAGAAAGTTCTATCAGACCATGAGCCAGTTTTCATTGTCTGCGAGTGCTTCTGAGGAGGAAGGGGATCATGTGCTGTTCAGTCATAGACAAGCAACGCTGCGTCGTCCAACCACGGCGCCCACAAGGTTTCCTCCTGTTAAACCAGAAGCATTCACTCCCTTTCAGAAACACTGGCAGGCACTCAAACCATCTACCCAACTCACGCATCACTAACGGTAGTAAATGGTTTATAGCAGCCGTGGTGGCGAATGTGAGGCCTCTCCAGATGTGAGTAACTTGTAAGCAAACACGCGTACGTCCAAGCCACTGGCCTCAGTCGGCTCATTTAATCCGGAGCGTTTTGTGTGACATTCCCAGCTGCCGCGCGCTAACTGACAGACGGAGGGACAGGACTATCTTTACAGACACATAGTCCCCCCCCAACAACCAAACATTACAGCGGGACATACTGACCCACATCTCACCCACAAGTGTTTCAATGTTTCCATCAACAGGGTTACAGTTAAAAGACTGACTTTAGGTTCGCATTAGGAGTCTGCCACGGAGGACTCTTGCGTTTCACATTACTCAAATGATGCACACCGCCGTGCTGTGATTGAGAAATATCCCACGAGAAACAGTGGCGTAATGGCGTAAAGTGGCGTAATGGCGTAAAGCGGGCATTTTATTGAACTTGAATTCAAAATGTTGAACTGCTGAGTTTTTCTGTGTTGTGTTGTTGTGTTACTCTTGTTGAGACCTCCCTCTAACCATTCTGTGTATGAGACAATGTAACAGGATTTCATAATATATATACTATACCCATATATATATATATATATATATATATATATATATATATATATATATATATACACCCATACTGATCTTTTCAATAAATCTTACCTAACTGAATCGTAAGCTAAATTTCGGCTTTCATTATTGATTCTCAAAACTGAACCCCATGGCTAACCAGCAGACTATCTACCATCAATATAGATCTTTGAACTTTTATACAACATAATCTAGTTTTGTTTTGATAAAAAGGGAATGTAGCTGGGCCATGCTTTTACTATTAAAACCCACCTGACTTCTGCCAAACGTCATTGCCAACTAAAGTAGTATCAGGTTTAGGACCTATTGGAGCAACGCACCATAATAACCCCCGCGTGCCAGCGACATATCTGAGATTCCTGACTGCATTCAGCTCAGCAGAAGGGGGAGAAGCTTCACGTGAATGAATGACAATTCAAAGGAAGCAAAAACTAAATCAGGAAATCTGGAAATTCGACTTTGAATCAGGAAGTGCAACTCAGGCCACTCACCTCTGCTCCCAATTCCTCTAAATGTGGAAAAAGTGTATCTCACCATGAAAAATCACACCACTGTGTCTTTTCGTTTTCTTCATCACAAGCGAGTTAAACAAGAAAAGCTGCTCTGACGGAGTTAGCTACTCAAAATATGTTATGCACTTCAGTGACTAACCACATTTATAGACACAGATTATCAAAAAAGTATAATCATTTCTTAAAGTCCAATGTCCATCAGGGATCCCTAACCTATGAATGGAGAATGAGAGATAATGCATTAATGTATTATGTGCCCTGTTTCAGGTCTGAGACACATCAGTCTCCACTGTAATTGAATTGAACGTTAATACATCTCTGCAGCAGAGAGCCAGGATGCCCTGAATAACAATAACTTAAATAAAACCACAACCCAAGCTTCTCCACACCCATTCTTATAATAACGGCTTTAATACAACAACATGCCTAAGATCGTGTGCCTACGCTGCGCTTAGAAACAAAAACAGATGGGAAACCAGAGCCCATTTAATCCCCTAACCAATCAAATGAAGAGAGGCCTTAACGCGCATTACGGCAAATGGGAAGAAGAAAAAGAAGCAGAAAACAGGTGGGATGTATGTAAAACGGAACAAACTAACAAAAGTCAAAACCAAATGGGAGAAACCCGTAAGCGAAGGTACGACATTACGGATATAAAGGCGCCAAAGGGCAACAGATTTTTCCAGACGGCTTGTTAACGTTACATGACCTGAAACACGAGACTCGACGATAGGCGCGAGACATTTTTGTTCTATTGGCGATTGCGTGGAATGATCATCTAGGTACGTCAAACGGTTTAAATGTTTGCATGTTGCGGTGAACAAACACACACGTGGACCGTTTACTAATACATATGAGTTTACGTGTCGAATGAAAGCAGGAGAGTGATTTGTTTGTCCATGGTTTTCTTCATAAAGCGTTAAGCAGCGCATCGAGCCAGGGAGGAGCCCCGGGAACCAACGTTCAGCTAGCAGCCACACATCGTCCACAACGCGTTACCTGAAACCACCAGGGCCTCGTTCGGTCCAACGGTGTGGCAGTTTCCCATGTTTCCGTTAGAAAAGGCTTGTATCCGAACCCACTCGACGCTTACAAAACTAATTTCACTTTTACAGGGTGTTTTTTCTCGTTTTTTCACCCACAACTGTCAATTATCGACGGGTTTGTTTAGACAGACGGAGTGTTCCGCTACAACTGGGTCACGTCAAAAGTAATGAGACGTAGTGTTTCCGCTTATGATTTTCAAAATAAAAGCACCACTGAGGATAATCTGTTTAAGTAAGCGATTTGATTATTTTAAAGTTTTGTTTTGAAGGCTAAACTTCTGCTCTTCTCTTCTTGTTTCGTGGTCACTTGACTGATCAGATACCCCTCCCATCTATTCAGCCCCTCCTCCACCACGGAGGGATACAATTCTGTAATAAAAAAAAGGCGTGGTTGTTTAAATTCCCTCTCACGAAAGTAGCAAAACAACCGGGGTCCTCGATAGCCTCCTCAGCCACTAATGACCTAGTATGTATTTATTTTGGTGTAATTCTCCGATTGTTCTTCTCTGTGTCACCTAATGCAAATCGAAGATGTTTTACTTGACGTTGTACCGAACCTCTCATGCTTTCTCCCATTTCTCAATTTCCCATTTCATTAAGCTGCTCAGTCTCTCCGTTTTTTATTTTCACAAGCAGTGAATGGAAAATCCAGTTTAAAGGCAGTGGGTTACGAGCATGCATATTCAAAGCAATATTGTTGTGTTAAACAACAAAACTTATGCTTTCAGATTCACATTTGTTTTTCAAATGATCAAAACTTTTGACCTGGATTTGGCTCCATACCCCTACGCCACATCAGTGTCAAAAGTCTGAATGTGGAAAAAAAAAATTTGAGTGCGAAAAAAATATCTGAAAGTGAAAATATAAGATATGCCACCGAAAAATGCAATACACACAATATCCCAAAAATATATGAGTGAAGATTGAAAAAATATATTTTATTGAAAAGAAAAATATAAAAATGATTAAAAACTATTCAACCCAAAAATACTTTTCGTGCACTTGTTTTTATTTTTAATACATTGTTGTATTTTTCAATGTTGAACAACAAAACTTTTAGGTTCTCATTTGTTTTTCAAATGATCAAAACTTTTGACCTGAATTTGGCTCCATACTATGGGTTTTGTTGTCACGGACAGATTGATGTGTGAGTGCTTCTGTGAAAATATACAAAAGGATAATACATTCTGCAGGAAAGAAGCAAACTGGGCCTAAACCCATGACCGCAACCTGTGAAGATCCCACACCACAGCCTCTCGCGAGGTTGTCATATCCTGGCAAAAGCTGCGTTCTCAAACTTTCCCGGGGTGAAACAGCATACAATCCGACTGCACTCGACAGGGCGGCCTGAGTGCTGTGTCCTCTGTTGAGGGTCCTCAAGAACAACTATGTTGACATTTCACAGAGGGCAACATTGCTGAGTCATAGTACACACACATCTCAATTCAACCATCCTCTCTTCAAAAACAAAGTTGAACCTTGCACTGGAGTTAGAGCAATAAGGTAGGACCATTTGTAAACTAGTGCAGCGATTACCAATCAACCTCCACCCACCCAGGCGCCAAACCAAAACAGTCTATCCAACAGGTGAGCCCACAATTATAAACCTCCTAACTACCACTATGACCATCATTTGAGTTCTCTACCTTTCCCCATGGTCTCCAAATGTTAAAATAAGAGGTTTCTTTTAGTGTTATGGATGTACATTCTCCCTGTCGGGGAAACACTGTGTAGCTCAAACCTGATAGAAACTCTCTTGCCACGTACCAGCCTGCTTCAAGGCCTCCACCATCATCCCTGTTCCCAAGAAGCCCAGGATCACAGGACTCAATGACTACAGGCCCGTCGCCCTGACCTCTGTAGTCTTTTGAACTTTTGAAGTCTTTTGAACGGCTAGTCCTGACCCACCTGAAGTCCCTCACCGACCCCCTCCTGGACCCCCTGCAGTTCGCCTACAGAGCCAACAGGTCTGTGGACGACGCTGTCAACATGGCCCTCCACTACATCCTCCAGCATCTGGACTCCCCAGGAACCTACGCCAGGATCCTGTTTGTGGACTTCAGCTCTGCTTTCAACACTATCATCCCGTCTCTGCTGCAGGACAAACTCTCCCAGCTGCACGTGCCCGACTCCACCTGCAAGTGGATCACAGACTTCCTGTCTGACAGGAAGCAGCACGTGAAGCTGGGGAAACATGTCTCAGCCTCTCGGACCATCAGCACCGGTTCCCCCCAAGGCTGTGTTCTCTCCCCTCTGCTCTTCTCCCTGTACACCAACAGCTGCACCTCCAGTCATCAGTCCGTCAAGCTCCTGAAGTTTGCGGATGACACCACCCTCATTGGACTAATCTCTGGTGGGGACGAGTCCGCCTACAGGTGGGAGTCTGACCATCTGGTGTCGTGGTGCAGCCAGAACAACCTGGAGCTTAACGCTCTAAATACAGTGGAGATGGTTGTGGATTTCCGGCGGAACAGAGCCCCACCCTCCCCCATCACCCTTTGTGACTCCCCCGTCACTATTGTGGATTCCTTCCGTTTCCTGGGCTCCATCATCAGCCAGGACCTCAAGTGGGAGCTGAACATCAGCTCCATCACCAAGAAGGCTCAGCAGAGGTTGTTCTTCCTGAGGCAGCTGAATAAATTCAACCTGCCAAAGACGATGATGGTCCACTTCTACACGGCCATCATCGAGTCCATCCTCTGCTCCTCCATCACCGTCTGGTACGCTGCAGCCACAGCCAAGGACAATGGCAGGCTGCAGGTCCATCAGGACTACGACCTCCCGCCACACGAACAGTTTCTTCCCGTCGGCAGTCGGGCTCATCAACAGAGCCCGGTCCCCCACTGCCTGACTATAACACTCCACCGGTCACTCCCGTTCACACTGCACATGCCACTTTAACTGCAATTCATCACTTTGTCACTTGTCACTTTGTCTCTTGTCAGTTACTTGTTCGTTAGTGCACTTTATGCTTAATATTTTTCTTTTTAACTTTTTAATATTTAATTTTTTTTAACTTTATTCCCTTGTTTTATACTAACCCATAGCCTTAGCCTTATTCTACTAACCCATTGCATTAGCATTTCATTCCACTTTATTTTATTACCTGTGCACTGTTGTCTTGTCTGTCTACTGTCGCGCACTAACCGCCAAGACAAATTCCTTGTATGTTTGACATATTTTGGCTAATAAATGTTTCCTCCTCTTCCTCCTCCTTGACTTTCATATTTTTCACGTCACACGTTTGACTGGGGCAGACGTGCGGCGGTTGGTTGGCCGACATCTTGGTATTCTCTCGGACTTCAGGATGTCCAGTTCATTACCACTGCTGCTGAGCACCTCGGGATCCGGATCGAGGTGCTGTAGCTGTTGAGGTCAGAGAATGGATATCAGCAGGTCATGAACTCGTCACAACAGGAGGTGGATTACCAAATTTTGCCTTGCTGCAGCACATTTCTCCTTTTCAGCAGAGTTGGCTTCGGCGGTGGCACAAATTCTGAGGACATGTTTCCTGAGTAGCTGCAGCCTGGGCCTTTCTTTGTTGGCTGCGTTTCCTCTTTAACCATCTCCCAATGTGATGGATGATAAGGGTGTCTCTCCATCTCTGTAGATATAGAACATTTTGTCAGCAGAAAATCACACAATCTTGTCTCCTTCTGACAGACAACATCCTATTAAGCATTCGCCTAATAATGTTCATTCCATTATGTACTCACTAGCCAGATAGTGTTAATTGTGACAGCTCTCTTTAATGATGAAAGTGAGAACTTTAAGAATGACAGTTTCACCGTCCTGACTCCCAGCCTTGGTTTGACTCCCATATGAGACACCAAGATGCCACTTGCTTGAGTTTGACTCCTCTCAATGGATGTCTTTGTTTCTTGCTCTGCTATCTTACTATGCTGACCTTGGAAATTGAATGGTGTAGTAGGGGTGTAATCCGCCATGTTTTGTGTCTTATTTGACAGCACAACCGTTTTCTAGTTATTTGTTTCCCATGTAGACTGCTTGCACTCTGTACGACCATTGAACCTTCTTTGCAAAGAATAAAGCTTTAAAAGACACGTTCTGGGATATGGATGTGTTTTCATGACAGCATTTTATGGACTCAGACAGAGTCGGCAATGTACATTTTCCACCACCAAATGTTCTCTTTAAAATGTCAGTATGGAGAAAATCTTTGAGATGTTATAGGACAATATGGAAAATCTCTAAATGTCCAACTTGGACATGAGCCTAAGTGCAAATAGATAATTCACACTGATAAGAGCTTCCTGGAAAGCTGTCATGTGGTGTTGATTGGTTGGTTTGACCACAATCTGTGCTACAGCACGTGTCACATATTGCACACGTGTAACGTAGTCATAAAAGACGTAAATGATTTATCTATCTCCACTTGTCTTTAGATTTCTAATTGATGTAAAGGTATTGGTGTTACAGAGGCAGAGCTTCCGCAATCCATGAAATTGTATGACTGTTACAAGTTATAATTTTTAATAAAAGATTTAGTCGTTAAGCTTTTGGACTGAGCTTCTGATTCCGAGCTTCTGATTTAAGTAAGTCAAACATATTTAAAACCCAAAGGTGTTGTCAATGCAACATTTATGATTTCAAATTTAATTTAACAATGAATGGAAAAAAAAGATATTAGGTTGTGATTGAGGGCGGCACGGTGGCGTGGTGGTTAGCACTGTTGCCTCACAGCAAGAAGGTCCTGGGTTTGATTCCGCCCAGTGGCCTTTCTGTGTGGAGTCTGCATGTTCTCCCCGTGTCTGCGTAGGTTCTCTCCGGGTTCTCCGGCTTCCTCCCACAGTCCAAAGACATGCTCTGGGGATCAGGTTAATTGGGGACTTTAAATTGCCCGTGTGAGTGTGAATGGTTGTGTGTCTCTGTGTAGCCCTGCGATTGGCTGGCGACCAATCCAGGATGTACCCTGTCTATTGCCCAAAGTTGGCTGGGATGGACTCCAGCCCCCCCGCGACCCTGTGTGCAGGATAAGCGGTTTGACAATGGATGGATGGATGGAGGTTGTGATTGATGAGTTTACTCTCTTGAAGATGATCTGTTTGACCATCAACAGAGTAAGCATTATTGTCTGTATAAAATATTAGTATACATTCTTTAAAAACCCAAATTATTTTATTATATATATTTTTTTTTTAACCTTTGTGCAGTCTTGATTTAAAACCATAAATCTGATGAGTTTATGCAAATTTGTGGGCCGCGGAGCAGCCACAGTGTTTCTGCTAAGCTAATCATTAAGGATAATAAAAGGCAAGGTTATATCACCCCATTTAAATCCCGGCCAAACTTTCCTTGGAGTTTGGCCCCAGATGAGCGGCAGCAGCGACACGGCGAGCAGACATGGAGCAACAGCTCAACAGACCGACGTGGAGCAGGCAGATAGAGTTTACTCTGGCTGGCATCGGCTGTGCCGTGGGCCTGGGAAATGTTTGGAGGTTCCCTTATCTCTGCTACAGGAGCGGAGGAGGTGAGAAGTGTTATTTAACGGTGCTGTTTCCAAGCCCTTCTTCTGACCCTTTGTATTGGTGTGATGCAGATTGTGCTGAGCAGTTTCTTTTTAACTTACCTTTGTGCGCTGTTGTTGTTGAATAATATATCTTGAAAACCCCTGAGCAGGATGACTTTCATAAAACAGGGACCGTGGAAATCCTTCGCCAGCTAAACAGTGGGACGCTCAACCTTCCATTTTTCTCCTTTTCAGGTGCCTTTCTGGTGCCCTACCTGCTAATGCTGGTGGTGTTGGGTGTCCCTCTGCTCCACATGGAGCTGACAGTGGGTCAGTACACGAGGAGAGGGCCCGTCCACGCTCTGGCTAATCTCTGCCCACTCTTGAAAGGTACTTTGTGGTGTGAATTGATTTTCCCGCTCACTCAAAGAGACACAAACCAAAAAGTGTGCTGTTCTTTTTGACGATGTCCTTCGTTTGTCCTCAGGAGTGGGCATAGCATCGGTGGCCATCTCCTTCATCATGTGTATCTACTACAATGTGGTCATCACGTGGGCCCTCTATTATCTCTTCAGCTCCTTCCAGGCACCGTTACCCTGGCAGAACTGCAACAACACCTGGAACACCCCCAACTGCACCAACATCGCCACCAACAGCAGCTTCTCCTCCACAGCCAGCCAGGAGTTCTTCAAGTAAGCCCTCACTGTGCAGGAGAAACCAGTTCTGGTTAACTTGCAATTATGAAACCACACTAGATAATAATTAGTTTGTAGCAGGATTACAAAACCCCTGTAGCTTGACACAACTGCTTACACAACTGGAAGTTAGTGATTATGTCAACGGAGAACAAACGTGAGAATAAATTAGTCATGTGAGGGGAAGCTTAGTGATAAGAGGCAAACAGATGCCAGTATTAACCAAGCTTCACATCACTTTTATACATGAACTTCATCACTTGTGTTTATTCTCCTGCTGCAGCGGTTTAGTCATTAACTTGTTTGGTGGATATATGTGGGAATGGAATGTAAGTTTGTGACCAAGCAAGGGGTTTTACTGAAATAATGCTGAAAGAACTCCCATTCAGTGTTGGGCGAATGGAGTTGTGAAAAATGGCTTGCAAAGTACTGCCTTCTTACATAAACATGGTGGTATAATCTGTGATAGTATGCATGGTAGCTGTTTTATCAATGCAAAGTGAATGGCTGAAAATATCCACCTTTAAAATGCAAATCTTTATTGAAATGTTTTCCTATGTGTCCCTTCGAATCAGAATTTCCCACTTCTGGTGGCAATAGATTAACATCTAATCATATAACTATTTGCATCGTTGTGCAATAGGAGTTTGCTGGTCTACCAAATATAAACTGGCCTATTGTTGAAGACAACACTTAGTATAGTTAGATATAAGAACTTAGCGTTAAAGGCATGATGTTATCATTTTCTGATTGTCCTTTTTTACTTGTGTTATTTCTTTGAAGGTATAAGATGTTGGAGCAGACAAGTGGAGTAGAAGAAGCGGGGATAATCCGCTGGGAGCTTTTTCTCATTCTCATTCTGGCTTGGGTCCTCATTTACTTCTGCATCTTTAAGGGGGTGAAATCGACAGGCAAGGTAGGTGAAAAAGAAAGAGGACTCACAGGACAGAAAAGGAGAATGCCGACCACTGTGTACTTTGCTTTGCAGGTGGTGTATTTCACGGCTCTATTTCCGTACGTTATCCTGATCGCCCTGCTGATCAACAACGCGCAGCTTCCCGGCGCATTAGATGGAATATCCTTCTTCATCTTTCCAGTATGGGACAAGCTGCTGTCAGTGGAGGTAAGAGGAAAGAATCAGAGGATAATAGGAAGCGAAAAAGCAGTTAACTGGTGGATTGGTGACGGGTATTAACTGCCAGGGACGGTGCTTTTGGGCGATATTCCCACTGGGTTTCAGGTGTGGGTGAATGCTGCAGCACAGATCTTTAACTCCATCGGGATTGGTTTTGGCTCCCTCATGGCCATGTCCAGCTACAACTCCTTCAACAACAACGTGCTGAAGTAATCACACAAAGCGCTCAGTTTTGCCCATCAGGAGTGACAACAACGATCACTGGGCAGTAAGAGAAAGACTTCTGCTTTACCCACAGGGACACCCTGACTATATCCATCATCAACTCCGCCACCAGCATCCTGGCAGGGTTCGTTATCTTCTCGGCTTTTGGATACATGTCCCATCTGCAGGGCATCCCTGTCAGCGATCTGGCCGTGGATGGTAAGAAACTAACCCATAGCATTATATTTTGTTTTATTACTCGTGCACTGTCGTCTTGTCGTCTACTGTCTACTGCCACCCACCAACCGCGAAGTGAAATTCCTTGTATGTCTGACATATCCGAAATCAGAAAAAGTGAAAAAAATTCTCAGCATGGCTGGGTAATTTGTTTTACAAATGTTTTTTTTTTAAAGCAACAAAAATCTCATTGGAAGTATTTGGAGTTACAAATCAGTATTTGGGAAAAGCAATGCTTCATACTATATTGTTACAGGTATTTTTCAAGGGAAAGCAGAGCTGCAATCCAGGGGAATAAGAAGCATAATAGCCAACTAAAGACCTGATGATATGAGGAAAAATGATTGAAATCTGACCAACAAACAACCAAAATACTGTTAATCAGAGACTAGAAGTTACAAGCTCACAACACATTACACACACCTTCCGTGCGCTTATATCCAATGCATTGTACCATAAGAGATGTTCAGAAATGACCCATTAACTGCTCGGTCCATTGCAATTTTCATAATTTCCTATTTCATGAGCCTTGACACACTGTCATCTTGTGTATTTGTTGCATTCAGGTCCTGGACTGGTTTTTATTGTTTACCCACAAGCCTTTGCCAACATGCCAGTGAGTCAGCTGTGGGCTGTGTTGTTCTTCTTCATGCTGCTTTGCCTTGGACTGGACAGTGAGGTAGGTAATGGGAGATAACAGAAGCACTTCAGTGATAAGAAGGAGATCCTGTGCAGACTGCTTTTGTCTTTGTCTTTTTTTTGTCAGTTCGCAATGGTTGAAGTGATGGTGACCAGTCTCATGGACCAGTACTATCAAAGTTTGATGGGATTTTTCAAGCGAAAGGAGCTGTTCATTCTTGCTATTTGCAGTGCAGCGGCTCTTCTGGGGATTCCCTGTGTCATGCAGGTACAGTTTTAGAGGCTGCGCTTGTCACAGTTCAGCTCCGCACCCTCCTCACTCTATTCTTCAGGCACTTCCAACTCGTCAGTCTAAAGCCCTTCACCTGTTCCTCAAATCCATGTGTAGTCTCCTGCCTCACACACACACTTTGTTCTTACGGTTAATGTCAGACTCTCCAGCACTTGTTTTTTCCGACGAATCTCCAATTGCCTGGTGAACCTGCCAGCCCTTTGTCCTATCGGTATTCTGCCTATAAAAGGTCAAAGATCAAAGATCCCTTGAGTTGTGTAAAGTGCATTTGGGTCCAAACAAACCGATACAGAGCTTTATTTAAAGTGAATCCCCCGCCTAAAGACCTAAAGAGCGTGTCTCTTTTCTTTAGGTCGGCATCTATGTGTTCCAGCTCATGGACCATTACACTGCCATAGTGTCCATCATGTTTCTGGCTTTCTTTGAGGTTATAGCCATCTGTTGGAGTTATGGTAGGCAAATGTTGTGTTTCTGTTTTTCAGATGCCAGTTAATGTAATGTGCTATATGTATCATTTTCAATACCAAATGTTGTAAAAGGTCTGACAACATGCAAACAAACCACTGAAGCAGCTCTCCATGCGCAGGAGTGAATCGACTTTCAGACAACCTACAGGAGATGACTGGGAAAAGACCAAACATCTTCTTCAGACTATGTTGGCTTATAGTGGCTCCTGTTCTGATCACTGTAGGTGCACATGATTTAGATTGGAGATGTTTTTTTCTCTTCCAAACTGGAATCCATCTAAAAGTTGTTTCTTCTTGGGGCAGGTCATCCTGATTTTCTCCGTCATCCAGTTCAAACCAGCCCGCTATGGGGACTACGTCTTCCCTCCTTGGGCTCAGGGGGTCGGGTGGGTCATCGCCATGGGCTCCATCATCTGGATTCCTTTGGGTGCTGTTCACACATTATGGGTGCTACCTGGCTCATTTATGCAGGTGAAGCAGTTTTTTTAATCTCAAATCAAAACATTAGAATTGTGTGTTGTTACTCTATGTGATAACAAACATATTGGTGCATTTCTCCGACAGAAACTGAAGCTGTCCGTCAATCCATACGGCCTGAATGAAAAGTCAAAAATGCCATATTATGAGAGGGGAGGAGCAATACCTCCAGGCATCGCTGTCATCAGCTCTGACATCCAGCTACCTGAAAAAACTCCTATACAGACAAACCTATGATGGCTCTGCGCTTCGGCACGAGCGGCAAGTTCATCGCAAATTTTTGTTTACCTTTGGTTTTAACAATCATTCTACAATAATGATCTATCGCTGCATATCTGATATGCAGATATATTGAAAGAGCCATCGTGTGAGCCTATTCATTTTCATTTGTTCGTTTTGTTTTCTAACCGTTCTGCTGATAAAAAGACCACGTCTAGAATCATTTATTGAGTTAATCTTTACTATCCGACTTTGCAACAGAGCTCCAAAAGACAAATGTGTTACTTGGGGCTTCCGTCACACGTTCCCTGCCCTCTAGACTTTGCTGAGGCTGCCCTCTCTTGGCCGTGGCTGCTAATGCAAGTATGAGTGTTGATAAATCTGAACTCAGGTACTGTGCGTGGATGTAGTACACGTTTAAGTCAATAAAATGACGAAGCAATGCCACCACTTCTGTTACGAACATGAACCACTGTGGACCAATTCATTGTGGCTGACGAATGACATCCGTCTGTGGTTAATGAAGGAGTACACAGGTCAAGCAATGCTGCGTCATGTGTTATAAAAGGCATGGCAAAGTCCACAGCTTGTGGCCTCCACGATGACAGGTGTCCTTTGAAGTTACCAGTAAAAATAGCACAGACCATAACTCACTTCCGGGCAATTGTTTTTATTTATTCATTTAAGGAGACATGTCCACTGTAAAGTGCACATTTCTAAAAAGGTATACATGTACACGGAGTTAGTTTATCCCTAAATAAGTTGTTATTGTTTCCTTGTAATTCCTCACAAATGAATCCAAAGTGCAGAACAAGTGAAATTACACGGGCAAAAGAGGTGGATAGCAGGAACAGACGTGCTGAACAGACAATGCCACCTGTGCTTATCCTCCTTATGCGTGTTTGAAAGCCGAGGAGTGACTGAATGCGTTTGTGAAAACACACGGTGAGTAAAGGTGGCAGCATGACTCATGCTTGTTACAGTAGGTAAGACATAGTAGTGTCTACGGTTAGTGTCTATGGGACCACTTCTATTTATGATCAAAAGTTAAAACATTTATAAAAAAAAAAAGTTTAAACTAGAAAGAAAGTAATTCTTATAAACAGCAATTACTCTCTCCATTTAATTTCAAAAGGATATGCCATGTGACCTACAAAAACAGACAAACATGTGCAATCGATGGCATACTCTTCCCTCCGAGGTGATGGTCGCGCGGATGACCACGCAGCACGGCAGCAACTCTCTCCTGTTATTGGTTCCTGCCGCCGGTTGCAATCAGCTCAGTTCAGGGCCTGTGCTCAACAATTCACAAATACCGGCTCGCCGCATTCAGTAGTATTATTCGCAGTGGTTAAGTCCATGCCCTTAATTTCCTCGCCACAGCCTCTTCAAGGCTCAAGCCCTCTCTGACCACGTCCCTGCAGATCCAACACAGCTGTAGTTGATTTGTTTTAAAAACCCTCCACCCCCCCACGATCACCCACCCCCATCCTCGCCCAGCAGAGGTCGCTATGGAGTCACCATGGCTGCCGTCTGGTCTGCTCCTCCCACAGCTTCCAGTTCGACTGCTATGAGACCTGCTCTACTGGCCTCATCTGCACATCTCCAATCTGGTGACACAAATGAAAGAGATCGATACAAAAACCAGTCGCCACACAACGCGGATCCCTTTGACGGTGAAAAAGTGAGAGAGAAAGACACAGAGCGAGATACCTGGACGTGAGCAGGGGCACTGAGGACAAATGTGACAGCGCTGGCTATGTCTTCGGCTTTCAAACACTGAGAAGTGGAGAAAAGCAGGTATTATCGGTGCAACAATCTGCTGGTATTTTCACTATGTGAAATCAGTCAAAACATGTGCTCTTACTTTCATACTCTCATACACTGCAGCTGCCTTCTCTGGATCGCTGTTGTGGTGCCGGAAAGCGAACTCTGTCTCAACTATTCCAGGAGAAATACACTGCAGGGAAGGCAAACGCATCGGAAAAACATACGCACGGACAGCTTGGGAGCGCTCAAGAACCTAGTGTGGAGTTGATCGTGTGATCCAATATGCGAGCCACAGCACAGGTCAAAGCAATAAACTCTAATGAAACCGACACTTACTGTGGCTCTAATGTGGGTGTTTGCTTCGCGGAGCTCCTGCCGTATCCCCTCAGTCAACGCAGTCACCGCATATTTAGTGGCACAGTAGAAATGCTCATCGGCACTCGGGACCACTCGGTGCCCACCCATACTGTAAGAGGTGGAAGGGGAGAGAGATGCATGAGCCGGTAACAACATTAGAACTACTTGTGTAATTCTAGAGCAAGATTTCTCACAAGTCTCATGTACTTGTGTACGGGTTGAATATCATCGTCTTTATTGGGCTTTAGAGGCCCAGGGCAGTTCTCCCAAAAATATAGTTAAATCAATTAATAGATCCATTAAGTTCAGAGACAGGATTATATTACCTTCGCATTGCTACATGTGCAGGCTCACAATGGCCTTTACTTAATGCCTGCTGGATTTAAACCAGCAGGCATTAAGCAAGAAAACTTGCGGAGCTATTTATAGATCAATCTATACATTTATTCTTGGGTTCAAAGGGTATAGCTTACCTGTTAATATTGATGATGTGGCCGTCGTCCACATTCCTCTCCTTCATTGATTTGTACGCCTCTCGGGTGCAGATAGACAAGGCTAGGACATTCACCTGCAGGGTGAAGCGAAGACACAAACTGTCTTGTCTTGCTTTTCTATCAATCTCTAGGCGCACTAACCTCAAGTTGATATCAAAGTAGAATGTGATTTTAGCAATATTTAGCAATAGCACTTGATGAAAGTATCAGCTGACTGATGTTCACAAGGTCACCAGCTGATCCTGCTGTTCCTGTCCAGCTTGTGGCCTCTAAGCGGCTCCCGTGATGTCATTGGTAGATGGCATGTTAAAGCCAACGTGGTGGCAAGATAGGGGTAAGTGACCAAACAAGGTCAGCGTGGAGATTAAACACAGGCTAAAAATACACTGCTGTACACATTCATGTGGGCTGCCATGACAACAGATGGACGAGCGTTATGAATGCAGGACCTGGGAGGAAGGGACTTTGGAGCAGGGGGGGGGGGGGTCTTCAGTAGTCAAGAGCTCTATGAATCACAATGTAAGGTTTAAACAAGATAAATAGTGCTGGCTTTCATTAGTGGGCCTCTGCTGTGCATCTCCTCAAAGCCAATGGAGCAGCCTCTGTGAGGGGAGGGAATCTGTGCGAGTGCACCAATAAAAACCAGTGCAACATACACGGAAGACGATAATTCTAAACAACCCTACACTGAATAAAAACAAGGACTGTTTTGGTTGCATCTACATTATGATATGTTCTATTTGTGTGTCTGTGGTGATCCACCCACGTCGATCATGTTCCTCCAACCGTCTGTTTTTCCACTGAGCAAGGGCTCATTGTGGGCCAATCCGGCGTTGTTGATGCACACGTCCACGCCCTTGTGCAGTGTCTTGATTGCTGAAAACATGGACAGGATCTCCTCCTCGTTGGACAGGTCACACTTGTAAGGAATCAGCGTGCCGCTGTAGCCTGCACTCTGACATTCCGCTGAGAGCTTCTGAAAAGCAAAAATCAAACTCGGCTCAACAAAGAATTTGCAGGAGGATAATAAAGACAAAAATGTGGGCACTACGAGTTGCCGTGAATAGGTAATCGGGACGGATACACTATTAAGCAAGGGCTGGAAATGATCAACCCTCAGCAGGGTAATTAAGACTGATAAACACTACCCGCTCAGACAGGGGGGGGAGACAGTGAGCGCGTGCAGCCGTAAAATCAACCACAGTTGAGGGCAAAAGGTCCCTGATAGCGCCTCTGAAAAAGTCTTCTTCTTTCACCTGATAACAAGGTGCGTATTGATTAAAACTTCATTGAGTAAAATCTAAATCTGGACCCTGGACAAGAAGAGTGAGCGTTTGCACAGATGGGCTCTTCCTTTGGGTCAGAGAAGAGATTCAGAGCAGCCATGTCACATATTGAGAGTGTGACTGTGACTATGCTTATGTATATACACAAGTCCAAATACACAATACAAAAAGGGGCAGGATTTTTGTACTGATGCCTATCCCCACAATGCCATGTCAGCAATGTGGGCCCTCCACATGTTTGTTTTGATGTTTCTTGAAGATCCCCTTTCAACATTCCTACTTGCATTGACGGTGAGAACTAAATCTAAATTCTACGCGCAGAGCGAAGCACATCGTAACGCAGGTACACAATCATAGCTCACAATGTTGAGCCCTATTTTGTGTGGTGCAACTATTTCGGGAAAAGAGGCAGCGTGATCCGAGTCTTCCGAAGCACTCGAAATATGAGAACAGCATAGTCAGAATATAAGTGAAGAAAGAGCAAGAGAAAGGCAATCACTCCTCACGTGGAGTAGTGTGGATCAACGTGACTGAATTTTCTGTTGAATGTCTGACATCTGGACACGAGTACTGCAGCCAATCCCAAAAGAAGTGAACTTGTGTGAAGCCTGCTTTGTGTATTTAGGATGAAATTGGATTGGATCATTGGGGCTTTTCTTCTTTAACAAAACATACAATAGAGGGAATGTGTTGGGCCCTCATCTATGCGTTGCTTAGGCCCTTGAACATGCTTTCCAGGAGACATAAGGAAGGACAGTACATGTTACAGGTTAGGAACTTACAAAACGTACAAGTTTGGTCTTAACTTCGCTGGACGAACAAACACTCTTACTGTATTTTGTCCATTTTTCTTTGGATCCGGGAGAAGATTGCTTCTGGACCGATACCATTGGACACAGAACCGAATCACCTTTGTCTGCTGAGGACAACTAAGGACCTTGAATCTTCACCGATTCAAACCGATCCTTAAAATCGCAGACTCAACGGCAAGAAGATACGTTCAGAACACTGACCCACTGAACAGCAAGAGGCTGGTTTCCTGGGCAGTAGTGTATTTATATAAACTCTAATGTTTACGTTAAAGTCATAACTTGGAACTGCAAAGCCCTAAATCAGCGGGTCGTTGCGCATGTTTGATTCGTGTTGTTCAAGGGCAGAATAATTGATGATTTTAGATAATTTACTCTGGTATTGCGCCGCGAGATTTTGTTTTGTTACATACTTCCTCCCAGAGTGCAGCAACTGTAAGCGTTGCCATAGTGACTCCAACTTTTTCTCCCTCCATGGTTGAATTAAGTCGTACTACCGCCGTCCTTGCTCTCGCTCGCCCCTAATGTGATGGTCAGTAATAGACTCATTGTCACGCTTGTCTCCCCCACTGTTGCCCCGCCTTAGTATTTCTCCTTAGTTCCCTTGCATCCTCCCTCCTTTTCCCCTCCTCTGATCAATCACATTATTCTGATGTTGTGCGTGCGTTGTATGATGGTAGCAATCTGGATTTATTGCCAGTGCTCGAGATTAAAACCTTCCAAATTCTTTACTCTTAAGAGGTGAATATCATTTGAGACTAATTATAGTATTGGTTATTAGTCCCTGTAAGCTCAGGGTGGTGCCCTGTTATTTATTTATTTTGTGAATTATTTTAGTGATTATTAAAGAAATTCTATTGCTCTCAATATATTAGTTCCACACTTGCCAACAACCAAATACGACCCCCTGCCGTTCCCAACATACGCATCCTATCTCACACTTGGAGCCTGCAGATTTCCCTTGCTCATCCCCTAAGCTGTTTAACTGGGATTATCCAAAGCGAAGGCATTACCTGAATAAAGCTGTCAAAATGCCAAAATACTGAAAACACTTGTCTCATCTGTAAAGACTTAAACGAGCCCCCTCTGCACGTGTAGGCCAACCATTCCCTTCTGCCCGTCACCTCACAGGTGAGGCTGCGATCGCTGCTCTGTTCAGACATTAAAATTGGAACTGCCTTAGGACCGAAGATCCCCACCTCACACCTTGGTGAATCCCTGGACGGAGGTGTTTCCTGGGCAGGACGGAACGGGCAAACGGACTGGTTTACCCGTACCGGACTTCTTTACTCAGAAAGGAGGTTAAGGTTGAGGGGAGGGGGTAGTGGCTGGGCTTTAAGTGGCAGCAGCAGAGCAAACAGGCTGTGGTCTTGGTCCAACAACAGGAAGTCTCAGGCACCAGCTCCACCACCATGGCCAGCACGAGGGCCGGCACTGGCCACGCCTCCAGCAATGGCACAACAGAACCCTGTTCTACCGAGAAGCAACAGCCACTCTGTTGGCAAATGTACCCTGCGCATGATTCACTTTAAAAAGCACGCATTTTAAAAGACCGGGAGGAGGAAGAAAAACAACAACAAGTGAGCGTATCTTGATGAGGTACAACATTTAATCAAACATTTTTGCGTGAAGGCATCCTTCACGTTCTGCGTACTAATCTTGTACCGCTCTTGACTGTATTTACTGAATGTAAAACTATTACATACACGCCTATTTACCACCTGCATTATCAGTTACTCTCACATGGGTTTGCGCGTGGGCAGTTTGCTCTTACCCACACAGTCTTGATAGGGCCGACAGCGATAACAATTCTCACAATTCAAAAAAGACTAACAACGTTCCAACAGGTCATAAAGCTGCAGGGGGTGGGGGGCTTATATAAGATCTACAATGCATGGGACATCAATGTCCCGCCACATGTTTGGCAATCACTCACCCGCTCACACGGTGGAACTGATGAAAATGGAGCGGCAAAAAAATGTAAATAAAAAAAAAACGTACTGGGTCAGAGGGAAGGGATAAGAAATAAAGCTGCCCAAACACTACAGGCAGCCGCGATGTAAAGTGGTGAGCCAGATCAATGGCAGGAGGCAGCAGCGCCGAGACAGATTACATTTGTCTCATGACTTAGGAGGTTTTGCTGACGAGAGATGGATGATGTTGCTGTGGGCCACTGTGTCCCCTCATATATGTGGTAAAAGACTGGAAGGTTGTTATAAAAAAATCTAAAACGTGCAATGCACCTCCCCTCCCCTCTTAATCCGTCCTGTCTCAACTATTAAATACCTGTGACACACAGAGCTATTTTTCCTGTCAAAATGCATTCTCATCCTCATTACCGAGACCAGTGATCACAAAAAGTGTGCAGACGGGGGGAGGAGCAGAGGGCGGGTTGGCAGCCAGAAAGGGAAAGAGAAGGAGAGTGAGAAAACAAAAAGCTGCGGCCCGCTGCATTGAAGCTGATCAAAACACATTCAGATTTCCCCGTGTGTTACTCGGAGAGCAGGAGGGGAACAGCAGCACAGGAGAGGAAACCCACCAGTCGCATCGCGACTAATTTAGAGCCAATATCTTTGTGAAACTGGTTTTAGAGATACCGAGACGTTTTTACCATGAATAAAAAGTAATTAGTGAAAGAGAGATTTATCTTCGTTAATGAAAACAAAACAGTCTCTGAGACCAGTTAAGACAGTTTATTCTTTACTCTACCCTGTCCATCGCTCCCTATCCAGCTGAACTACTACTGTGTGACTTCAAAACAGACTCTTTTAAGTTCAGCCTGAGCATAATCATACTGTGTGGGGGGGTCAGAGGACATAGTGGGTTAGGGGGTTTAAATAAACAGATAAAACTGAGTTACTCCACAAAGGATCACACACAAAAGCACTATTTCAAATCTTATTACTAAAGATGTGCTAATACGTTTTATTGAAAACAAGTCTTTAATCATAAATAAATAGCATGAAAAAAGAACTAATTGAACAAAAACATCTTAGTCGGTTTTGAACAAAAGGGCTAAATTAGAGCGTCCCAATTAAGCTTTAGAAAAGCATTGCAGCGGAAAGGAAAGTTCGTAGTGTGATTATCTCTTCTGCCACCAAACAGTACAAAGGTCTGAAAGGGCAGTTTTATAGCACTTCTTCAGGACGGTCTCATCAAGACAAAGAGATAAGAAAAATAATTACACCCTTTGTTGGGAACTATATTCATTGACAGACTTTTGGGGAGTTCCAACCAAGGAATACGTTTTAACCCTGAACCTTAATGACCTTTGAACCTTAAACATGGTAACTACATGGCAACCGAGTGTCAGGCGCAAAGAGAAAGGCTTTCGTAACCTTAAGAGTCCAGACTAAACAATGAGCAGGCAGCCAGGTGTTGTTGTGTGTTCTGACACATTATTTCTCATTGTCAATTCAAAATAACACACACAACAAAGTGCAAGTCTGACATTTGTCAGCCATACTGCAAAACTAGATGACTTGCAGAAAGAGAGCGGCCTTTGGTCACATATTCACACGCTCTTGTTTGTAGTTGAAACATGCCGAGTGAAGCTTCCTCCTGTTCCACCAGCACCCATCACGTGTGTGAGGAGTGATCCGTGCACTGCAGCTGGATGGAGCTGCGAGCCACACCATCATGCAGGCAAAGCTTTGGCTACCAAGGACAGGCCCATAGGGACGGTGTCGATCGGACGCGTCCAAAAAGCCTTCTCAGAGGGCGCCGGCCCGAGGCCTTTCCACTTGTGAGTTTAGAATAAACACAAAATGTTTTGCCAAAATCAGACAAACACGCACCAACGTGGAATTCTTTACCGCCGAGCCCCCCCCCCCGGTAGAAAGCCTTCCTTTGCACTCTGCTCCGTCGTTGCTACAAATAAGCATTCGCTATCAAGCGTCGGCCTGCTCCTGCTGTTGCACTTAGCGTGGTGGTGGTGACGCCTTCCTGCTCCCGCAGCAACATCAGAGGCCTCCCCCGAGCCCCCCGCACACAGACACACAGAGACGAGCCTTCCAGAAAGTCTTCAACAGGACCGGACAGGAAACGCCCCACCTATCATAACGGGAGGGGGGCGGTGTTGGAATGTCAGCGCCAGTAAACCTGACAGGTGATGAGATGTGGTGGTGGTGGGGGGGGGGGGCGCGCAGAGCGGCACTGAGCTGCCGAGACCGATCACACTGAAAATTAAATGACACTCTGGCAATTTAAAAAGCAGTATTTGAAAAACACTCGACACATGAGCAGTGAGAAGCAACTGAACTGGTGGGTTTTTATAGCGGGCCATTAATGCAGGTCTGAGGAAACATCTTTGCAAGCTGAGTTACGGACCAAAATCGCAGGTATTTCAACACCAGAGTGTACAAATCAAAGTTCCTTACACAGCATGTCAATCCCAGAAAAGGTGAAGGAGAGCTTGAAACTAATGTCAAGGTGAGAATGTGACGAGGTCAGCGCTGTTTGCACATCGGAGAGGAACGAGAGCAATTTCTTATCTGCAATTTCTTCCCCTGGTATCATAAATCTGTGTGTAGATACCGGCCGATGTCCTCTGACCTGCGGCGAACGGGGGATTTATATGTGAGGAGACGCTGTTATTTGTTGTGCTGGCGGTAGAGTCGCCTCTCACTTGGGGGCAGAATCCAGGGAAACGTTAAGGATTATTTGTGAGGAATAAGTCTTTGTCAGCTGAAGGGGGAAAAAAAACCGAGCCGTCAGTGGAAAAGCTTTCTGCTTGGATACGACCAAAGTCTAGGAGCATGAAGGAGAAGCCGCCACGCAACTCGATGAGCTCGGGTTGAAAACCAAACAGCTCCTGTGCAGGTGAAGGTAGCGGTGCTGGGGTTTCTCTCACCACCGAGTGACAAGCAATGCAGGGAATTCTAAAAAAGGCCCAATGACTGGACAATTATTCATAATGTACAAAGGTTAAATGTGGTTTTACGGTTAAAGAACAATGTTTCATATACATTAGATATACAATAGAAAACTATATAAAGAAGCACACGCACGGACTAAAATAGAGGTTGAAACATAAAAGTGAGTTAGGGGGTAAATCTGTCTGATTGACCCACTTGAAATCTTTTCTGTGGTGTACGTATTCTGCACCTACATGGTCGTCTTTAATTGTGTCACCTCAGCTTTCTAAGCATGACTGAGCTCCTTTTAGCGCTCGCAGAATGGGCACCAAATTCAAGCTGGTAAGCCAAGGTCTTAAATTAACCTTCTGGCTCACATTTCCCAATGGTTTCGCATTTATATTCAGATTTTCTCACTCGCATAAAAGTTGCTTTGGCTAGTGACAAAAGGCTACTGCTTTATGCAGAGTTGCACGATATATCAAACCCCACATATGGGCTATGTGGGCCCAATCCCAATAAACCAGTAGCTTCAGTGGATGTCCTCTCCTTCTGGATCAGATTTGCAAAAGAAAAAAAGATGCATAACGTTATACTAAGTCCAGAGAGGACTTTAATGTCTAAAACATAAATCTGCCGTGCGTACGTATGGCTCACGAAGGCCCACTTTAGTACTGCGCGGTCCTATGCCCGGAGGCGACTTGTAAATCTTCTACACCCCCAAACAATACATTGTGTGCGCTGTGACGAGAGAACGCACCTCCAGCTAAACCATTGCGCCTTCCGCTAGGCATTGAGAAACCGGGTTGTTGCTACTTGGAGGCGTCCCCGTCCCCATTCCATCCCCGAGCCCATGGTGACCACACGTCTCCTTTCTGCTCGTTGCTCCCTTGCTGCCAACGCTACGGTCCCACGGACTGCCGAACAATGGAGCAGCCGGGACCCTCAGCTCCACTTTGTCCGCTTTTTATCTACACCGAAATCTACGACATTTGAATATATATCAGGCCGTGTGCCGTTTTATCTGGTCTGCTGTTACGAGTGGGAATGGCAGTGTTGGACAATAATGACATCAAAAGCAAAAGTAAAGAATTGAACACTTAAAGGGAAGATACAGACTAAGACTTAGTGATGGACACTCGCACTCTCCACTAGCAGCATGCCAAGTTTGGCACAACTACAGCGAGAACTCAGTTTACACTGCAAAGAGTACGTATTGGCTTGGTCCCTCAGCTCACACGGACTACTCCCCAAGGTCTTGTACAAGTGAGGCAATTGGTCTCCCAAATGGAGGAATGGAAACATGTAACTCAACACAACTTGATATCAAAAGTTTGGCTAAATATTTCGGTACTATAACGGTTTATTTCGCCTCTCAAGATTGTTGCTGTGCCGGGACCATCTCTTTAATGTCAATTGATTTTGCACATTGCGCTCTTATCACACCCAAATGGATGTTTATTCTCAGTAAAATATAGCAGTAAAATAATAAAAAGGTTTAAAATGTTGCGACCATGTTTTGTCACAGACAACTGAAACAAGATGCTGCAGTTAACTATTGACAGCAGGGACCATGTGACCAGATTATAAATGGAGGAAAGCTATTTATTTATTTTTACAATTCCCACTCACTATATGGATGTGTGTGTGTGTGTGTGGTTAATGTGGAAAACATCTTGAATTTAATAAAAACTAGAGCTAACTGAAATATGCTTGGAAGAATAAAAACAACTACAACTTTGAAATGGTTTAGTCACCTCTTATCTTGCTTTCACAAAAAAAAAGTTCCTGAATCTGTCGCTCTAATTCTCAGCTCATGCCAAATGATGTTGTTGTAAACACTAAACAGCGTAGTAAACGGGTATAATCGCCAAAGTACTGCTATTACATGAAGCTTGATGTAAGAAAAAATGAAAATGTATACGACAACTACCATCAAATTTAACTTCATTATTCAGCATTATTCACACAAGTGGATGTACTTAGGTCACATGCTACGGCACAGAACGCCTAAACATTCAAATATGACAGTTTTGTTAACAAGGCCTGCTACGCGACAGTGCTCTGCATTGAAGAAAAACACGTTCGCTGCCTATAAGGTGTCAGAATTTAGACCGGACCGAATTTAGACCATTGCTGAAAACTGGGACAAGTGGAGGCTTAATTATTGGCTGACAAGATCAGCAAGGTGCACAGCAGTGTGGCTTTAGGTTAGGCAAGAGTTAGTTGGGTGAGGCCACTGACTACAATATACCTGGATTCTGCCTGTTAGTCCCCCCCTCTTTGAATATATAATTTTCTAAATTACAGCCATAAATTCACTGGTTTCATATGCGGCTCAAACATAATCACCCCTGTCACTCATATTTATCTTTAATTACAAAATTGGTTATAAATTAAGCTCTATTGTTATACAGCATTGACTTCAAACATATCCAAATGTGATGTGATGGTTAAAGTTTGCTCCAAACCCCGCTCAGAAATGAAAATACCCAGAGAAAGTTGAGTTCGGAGACATGAAATAAAAGAAGACAGGAGACGTCCTGACATTTGCCAAAGACCCATGGGCACCAACTGATCGCTCTTTGGAAACCATAAGGAGGTCATTTGACTCTAGCCGAACCGGAGGGAGGGATGGGAGGGCGACCCACTAGTTCTTTGGTCAGTTGAGGAATCTCCCTCTCTGAACTGTCATTTGGAAAAGACAGACTTGCATCCCTGCCAGCCGATAAATGCTGGTCTGCTGCTGACTGTGACCTCTAACCTCACCGGAGAAGGTCAATCAAAAGAGTGATTTTTCCAAGGAAGGATTAATAATAGAGATTAAAAAAAGATTATGGGTTTGTGGGAGATGCAGAGTGATGCTGGTGCGGGAGAATCGCATTTGGCTTTATTCGGTGGGTGATGCCGTTTGCCAATCCGGGGTACAGTCAAACCCCTGAAACTCGCATGGGAAATCTGAAGGGATAGTCGGCATTTAGGTGACGTCACTGTTTATAGCTATGATGCTTATGATGCCGGTTGCTACGGAAAGAAAACTATACGTTACTAATATTCTGGATTCAATAACGGTAAAATACAATATCCACGTTACAGTCAAACTATTAGGATTAGTGCGGTGCTTTTCGTTCCGTAACGCCACACATCGACTTAAGGTTACCTAATGTCACGTTGACAAAAGAGACGGCTGAAGTTGTAAAGCTAACGTTTGCTAACGGTGGGCGTCAGTGAGCTAACGTCAGTTTGTCATTGCTCCAACAGAGCTAGCTTACTTTTTGAGGTCGGAGCGACTATTTCGCGGGAGGTGTTAAATGACATGAAATCAAACGCCCACCTCTATTTTGTCGACATTCCTGGCACAGCCGACCACCCGCATGCCTTGCTGGACCAGTGCCCGGGCTACGGCCGCTCCGATGCCCACCGAGGCTCCGGTCACCAGGGCCACTCTGCCCTTCCACCGCTCCATCTCCACCGCGCGCTCGCTCTCTGTCCACCGGTACACGGAGCCTCGGCTGCGCCGCTGCTCCTCCGTCCGCTTTTAGCTGTCGGCAGTGCGGGTCAGACGCGTTGGGGTTTGAGGGATGCAGCAGCTACAGCCTCCCGTCGCAGTGTGCACAGCATCCAGGGCAAGCGGCGGAAAGTGTGCCTTGAGCCCGGATCCATGCAGCGCTCCTCTGGAAGCCCCTGGCGTGAGTAAATGTTTGGTTCGTGCCACCTCCCACTTGCTTTTTTTTCCTTTTTGAGTCCTAGTGGCCGAGCTGCATTGAGAGCTCGCCCCGTGTTGTCATCTCCCGCCGCCTATTGGGGAGAAAAAGCTACAACACTGGTGTTTTGCACGATAACAGTAATCACAAAGGTGTTGCTGGGAATATACTTTAAGAAATGTCTTCTAAAACGAAATAATAACTGTGGCTTAAACCGAAACAACATACCAGTGACATTTACACAATTGAATAAAAATGTCTAAATGAGCACGTGAGGTCAATAAAAACGCAATGAGACAATGATAATGCATATTAATAAATATTTATTTAGTAAATTTCGCACATTGCGCTCTTATCACACCCAAATGCTTATTACAAATGGATGTTTATTCTCTGTAAAATCTTTTACATTTAGAATGTCTGTACACATTTCATGGTACAACCATTACCACCAAGTGTCACCAAAGAGAAAAACAAAATAAGACTCCTAAAATGTATCCCTAATGTGCTAGCTTGCAAAGCTTTATCAATTATGAATTCCGCCGTGCTATTACCGAACAACTGTTATCCTACAGAAGACCAACAACAAATAGCTCGGCCTGGTCAAAGAGAACAAATATATGTGAGAAAGTAGCCCAGAAATGAGATCTTGGTGCAAAGGGTCTTGGTGCAAAGGTGAAGAAGAGAGAGAGAGACAGTGATGATCAAGAGAAAGTAAAAATCACATTATCTTTAAGGGAGAAATTTCGGAATATAAACATCCAATGTATTTTGTAATCATTTGTTTTCTATAGACGTTGCAGCAGTGGTCATGGATGTTTTCCCCCCCCCCCCAGTTATTTAACACGGGTGGTGGTACAGCACCTCCCACACTCTGGCCTACTCCGCTCAGTGGCACGGCAGTAGTTGGTGAACTTCTCTTTCAGGAGTTGTCTGTACTGGTGGCGGTTGTTGTAGAAAGACCGGTTTCTTTCCAGAAAGGCCCTGATTTCATCCTGTGTCAGACAGTTCCCTTCATCTGAGCGCCCTTCTGAATCTTCCTGTATTAGCAAAGCAGTCAGAGTGCAGGAGGTTACATAAAGCCAGAATCCAACCACTTCATTCATTTATTCTCAAGAAGAAAACGCTAAATCTAGTTAGATATAAAGAATACAAGAACATAGACCCTCCATACTGTCATTTAATCTACATTTCTCACTGACCAGAAGTTCCAAGAGACTCGCGTTGCCCTCTGGAGGCCTCGCATCAAGGCTCAGGTTGGTTTGAGTTGCTGTCCAAGGTAATTGCAGTGCAATGCTGGCAAATGTATTCCCACATAAGGAGGAAAGGATTGCTTTTGTTCGGCAAGTGTGCGATGATGAAGGACCTGAGCGCGTCGTGTTCCCGTCGGACATACAACCATCACATGTTTGTCCCTGCGGAGGAATGCATGGTTTTGTTGATAGAAATTGTTAAATATTCTGCTTAGAGGATTTAAATTGTGGAATTAGTTATCTCACCTGATTGTTGCATAAACCCTTGCCCTTCCGTTTCTTCTTTTTACTCTTGCATTGAGAGTTCTCCACAGAGTTTGGCCAGCAGTCCACACAACTGCCTATCCCATCCTCCTCCTTGTCTTCAGCACAGTGATGAACATGTGAGTCCTCTTCTGCAGAAGGTAGACGAAGACAGGATTTAAGTAAAGCAAGTTGTCTTTAAAAAGACCATGAAATTTCTCGGTATCTGAAAGCAGCTTAGACCTGCATCGTTGTGGTTGCACATTCCCTCAGAGCAGGCAATACAAGAACCTTCTCCGGAGCCTGTCTCACTGCCCTCCATACTTGAGGAGTATCCGCAGTCGCTACCATTGCTGTGGGCAGGCAAATCTGTAGATATACATGGACAAAGAAATCTTAGAAGAATCTAATGAAAAGTTTGTTTTAGTTTTAGTAAAGACAGAACTGAATATTAAAAAAAACAAAAAACAGGGATGATACGATTCCAAGCTGCACCACAAAGTCAAGATGCCGGTGTGCATTTCTACCCCGTTTGATGTTGTCTGGGCAGCTACAGGGAGTGCTTCCATTGGCGGCAGTGGTCTGATCACATCTGGCCTCCTCCTTCTCCTCATCAGGGCTGCCACACACTTGGCAAGTTGCTTTGATAGACTCAAGAGAAACCTTTAACAAACCAAATGGGATGGACTTTAATAAATACAGGCAATCAAATGTGCAGATGAAAACAGTCATTTGCGAAGAGAGCGTTGTCTCGCACATGTACCTCCGCCAGAATATTCTCCTTGTCATCTCCCTGCAGTTCAGAGCTGTCAAAGCCGCACTTGTTTTTGCGACGATTCTTTCGCTTTTGCCTCTTTTTCTCCTGCTTCAGCTCTTTGACCCTCTCCTCCTCAGACAGCTCCTCAACAAACTGCTCCAGCCGACTAAATCCCTGCATCTTCTCCACAGCCATCTAGAGGCAGGTTATAAGTACATTATGACGCAGCCATGATACGTTTATCGGCTGATGAATCGGTCAAGAATACAAACCATACAAAACAGAGGCTTAGAAGTACCTCAAAACTCTTGCGTAGTGCATCAATTCCCAAGTGAAACAATATCTGCCACGTTTGCTCCTCTGCTCGCAGCTTCTGCCAGATCCTGTGCAGTCGCTCATACAGATGAATACCGAGACAGGTCAGGACTTCTTCTTGTGCAATGTCAATGGTCTTGGCATGCCGCTCCCTGCGTCTTTAAAAAAAAATTAAAAAAAAGTATAAAAGTACACATCAACCGAATGCATAAGAACATTGACGGGAAGTAATATAACCTGGCATGACAGAAAATGCCTCAAATAAAACTGACTTGCTTAATGGTAAAAGAGAGCGTTGTAGTTTTCACTGCATTGACCTCTACTTACTCATAGCCTCCAGCAAACTCGGGCTCTGCCCGGCCCAGGAGGTGAGCGATGAAGTCTGTCTCACAGCACACATGGATGTGGCGTTCATGGGGGCAACAGCATAATCCCTCATACAGGGCAGCGCAATACCCCTTTTCTTTACTGCAGTCCAACTCCCCAACAAGGATGTTGTAGGCCCTCAGGACTTTATTCTTGCAGTCAGAGCAAAACCTGCAGACAAGGAAGTACTGCACAGTTAATGGGGGCTCTTTACATACCTTAAGGAGCATTTTGGAAAGAAAGACCTCCAGTAAAACCAAAAGAAAGGTACGATAGTCACACCTCACCTGTGTTTACGCAAGTATGTCTCCAGTGTCTCTAAGAGACAAGCACTATCGATGAGGACCACCTCATCCCTGCACTCCTGAGACATCAGCTCCCACACGTCCATCCAGCTTCCTCTGTAAGCAAGCATACAGCGGTCATAGTTGTGGCAACTAATGTTTGTATGACTATCAAAGGAAACAAAATGTGTGTAGATGGTACACAGTGATGACTGGCCTAAAACAGAGATGCTCTGCAGGCTGGAGATGCACAAACGTGTTGTTTTCTATTGAAATACTTTTAACCTGTCATTCTCTTTGTGCACCTGTCTCTACGTTTGGCTAGAACTGATTGAAACACACTGGCCCTGTCCGCAGGGAAGAGTTCCAATTAAACTTCTCAAATAAAGCCTTTAATACAACACACAGAAAGAGAAGAGGAAGAAAAAGCTGATACAGATAAAAATGGTAATATTACTCACCCCAAGGGTTTAGGTTTGTGGGTGTCTAAGGAGTGTAACTGGCAGCGTTTGTTCTTTTTACTTTTTGGAATGGCATCGATCATGTTGTTCAACTTTGACCTGTTAAAAAAAATTTAAAAAAGGTTTTCATAGTATACCAGAATTAATTGAGTTTACAAACAGAGAAAGTTGTACATTTGCTAGGTATGAAAAATAATAAGAATAAAATCTAACCGTGGAACATTGTCCAACACATCTCTGTAAATGCACGGTAGGAACTTTTTAAAAATCAGTTTTTACTTACCAAAAGCACGTACTTAAATGCAATTAAAAACTGTTAGCTTGGACTGTTCTCCTTGTATACATGTACCTGGTATTACCCATGGTATTTGGCAGTGAAAATGAAAAACACTTTTTAAGATCTTACCCGTGGACGTAGAAGAGGGTGTAGAGCTTTTTTACGTCTGCTAAACAGTCTTTGGTGACAGAGAGCATGCCCGTGGGTTTCACTGTAAGGGGCTCCAAGGCTGGGTTTCCAGATTCCACTAAATGCGAGAAGAGGCGCTCCACACTTCGTCTGCAGCCCACGCATGGCACCAGCTGAGATAATGCACCGTACACTTCTCTGGATGTCACCATCATGGCAATATTCAAATCCTGTCGCTTCAACTTGGAGTGGTACTACAGGCCAAGGAATCATGCATCTGTTACCACTTTTTTAACAAGTTATATGAAGACAAATTACACGTCAATCAGTTCCTGAAAATTAAAACCACAAACCTCAGAAAATTGTTTCCAATGAGAAGTGTTTATTTCCTGGCTGCCAACATCCATGATACTGTCAGAAAATTCCATCACCATCTGACGACAATAGTTGATATACAACAATTAATACACATTAAGGAAATTCTCAGAGACCCTCATAAGCCTGTCATCTTGTATACCTACACAGCCATACTTATAGTCAAAGCTCTAAGCGTTCTCTGTTCAGCTGTCTGATAGATGAAAGATAACCGTTTTTCCCTTGGTTATAACTACACCTTTGTTTCTGGACAATGAACCAGTTGAGGGCAAACATTGGTTTATGAGTAAGCCCATTCCATTCTCCATCTGGTAAAATATTTGGGAAACCCTACTGACCGTGAGACTATCATCTATATACAGGGGAATCTGTCTGGCGAGAAATGGGTAGTCCTCTTCCCCTTCCCTGCAGACTCCCACAAGCCGTGCCATGACCTCTTCCATTTTGGCTGCGGTGAAGCTCGCCTGCAGGTGACACACAAAAACCCACTGATCACGTTTGACATCATTACAGGTTACACCAAGCTAATGCTAATCAATAGCAGGTCATTGAGGGGTAACTGCACCATTGCCTTGTCACGGAAAGCTATTTTATAGACCAAAATGCATTAGCACATGGTACAAAATGCAGAACATTTACCGATTCAGCGTCATTAAAACTGTTAAAGTAACGTTACACACACAGGTTTATTGATCAAGATTTAGCTAGCTGGCTTTATGTTAGCATGACAGCTTTCGAATGAGCTAGAGGGAGGACATGTCTATAACCTTTTGGTTTGTGAACTCTGTATTTGTCTTGGTTGAAACTATTTAATAAATGAAAATAGGATTAATCAGGCACACGCATATCGTTAACGTTACATGTTGGGCAATAAAAACAGTAACCAACAGCTAACGTTAGCCTGCTAGCTAAGGCATTGAGGAAGCCGGTCAGGGTATACTATCCACAATGTTTTCAAGTGCTAACTATATACTGAGCTCAACAATACATTACCAAATAATATATGTACTGCAGTATTGAAATAGCGTTAGTGTTTGTACGCCATGTCGATGCCAGCAAACTTGGCTAACTTACTAGCTAGTTAGCGTCGGTGTCATACACCGCTAACGTTAGCAAGCTCCAATACGGCTAATATAAAGTTGAACTGGGTGACTAGCTATGTAGCAAATGACACTTTCATTAGCTTCTCTGAATAACATTTAAAATATAAACCAGAATCTAACGCGTTGACATAGTAAAGGTGCATCTAAGTAAAAAGCATTGTGGTTACTCACCCGCTTTTAAAAGTTCCTCTTAAAAGATAAACAAGTGCGATAGTGAGTGAAGCTGCTACGGTGACAGAACCTTCATTACTGATGTGACCTTTGCCCCCCTGAGCGTAGCAGCTGATGTTGTAATGCGCGTGGCCTTCAAGGGGTACGCGCATTACAACATGTCTGTATGTATTCCCACACATATAAATATATATGTGTAAATATATATACACGTTATATTAGATTTCAACGTTAGCTTTTGAAGTCGAAATATATACATACAATTTCTCTACGTTATTACAGATTATCTCTATAGATAGATATATAGGTATTGAGATCCATCTACGTATATATCAGAATCATTTTAAATGAGTTTCTTTCTACAAAAATGTCAGATCCTAACTGGACTAGGTCTTAAAATCCTAGTATATGTGATAGCAATTTAGCAGGACTGGCCCCTATAGGCAGAAAGCATTATTTTACAGCAACATAAAAATGTTTTTATTGCACAAAGAACACACACACACACACACACACACACACACACACACACACACACACACAGAATTTTAATGTTTTTGTATTCCACTGTGTATTTGTATGTATATTGTTTGAAGTTGTTAAGGGCAACCACACAAAATGTTGAATAATGAGAATAAAAACCTCTTTATCTTTAAAAATGAAAACAATGCACAGTGAGAACAGTCAGTGTTAGGCTTAACACTTTATTTTACTCCAACTTGTCACTTACTTGGAGACACCATTGTATAAAGACAGGCATTACAAGAATATTTACATTAGTATCTGCAGCTTTACAGAATGTCAAAGTCTGTAACCGCTAGCCTCACAAAAATAAAATTGCAGAATGAATCTAGTAGTTTTATGAATGGAATTTTACCAGAATTTCACTGTAACTCCACAATGATGTAACACACCTATTACTGAACAATTCACAAACATGTAGGACAGCAACACAACCAGAGAAAATGAACTGCTGCAACTAAGTGTGTCCACTATTGAGTTTGTCAACCCGGTCATGACATTTGCAAGCAGGAAAAATAGCAACTGATTCCTGCTGACAGCTTGAACAAGACAGTGTCTTTCTATGTCACTTGTCTTTTTGTCATAGATTGAGTCTGGTTGCTTCTTGTGCGGATTCCACGATGAGGGTACAAGGTGACAACCTGATGTTCTTTTGGAAAACAGTAAAACCATATCAGCAACACCAAGACAGGTCATAAAAAACAGAGACTGAGCAACACTCCAGAGGCAGAAAGGTAAATTAGCTAAGCGGCGAGACACTGGCTCCACGAGAGTCTGACATGTGAACAAAGCAGTGTACAGCACAAAACTTCCCAAAAAGAGGTTAAAAAGTGCTTTGAGCCACTGTCTAACTTGGGTTCTTGGTTGCATCACATACAGTCCAACCTGCACTCCTGCAATGTAGATGGCTACATAGCCCGCTGCAGAGAATACACCCTCCTTGTTAGCGTGCAGAAAGCCAATTTCCCTGTCTTTATTGTGGATAATGAAGGTCTTCAGCCCTGATGTCTCCAGAACCAACTGATAAAATCCGCTGATCAGAAGGGCAATGACCCATGCACGACTGGCTGGAAGAACGGCCAAAAGCACAGAAGCCACAACTCTGACAATGGCTAGTGTGAAAAAAAAATTCCAGTGAATGCCATATTCTGTCACATGCTCGTGGTAGCCTGAGATTTTTAGGCTCACTAGCCTTCCCATACCAAGAACAACCAGGGGCCAGACAGACAGGAGCTGTTTTACGATGTGATTCACCTTGGATCCTGATATGTTCTTTCCCCGGGCCTCTGGACACACAAGGGCATTTGCAAAGACATATGCCCCAACACCAAAGTCCATAACGCCGGTGCCATAGGTTTCAGTTTTAGCATATCGCCTTGGGAAGATACTAAAGTCCACGGCAAGAATGCTGATGGCAGTTTTCACATTTACAAACACTCGGAAGATGGTGACAAAGGGAAGCTGGTTAAATTGAACGTGACTCTGGAGGAAGTTGCTAACGGTGTTTTGTGGAGGCCGAGATGAGCAATGACTGTTGGTACGGTAGATATAAGACAACACACAAGCTGAAATAAAAGCCAGGCCCAGGATGACTTGGTGAAGAGCATCACTCAGGATCGTGCATGACAGGACAAGGGGAAGGATGAGAACACAAAAGTCTAGGAGCAGGTGAGAAATCAGTGGAAGTGGCAGCGGAAGAGTTCCCCCAGCCTGGTGATACAAGGTCAACATCAGTCCTCTGCTGATGAGGCACAGTGGAGTGAGAAATGACCCCAGGCCCACCTCCTGCAGAGTGGTCCCATTGAGGTTACTGATGAATGCTTCCTTCAGGTCCCTCTGAGACATGGCCTGTGAATATTAAAAAAAAAATTGTAGTTGAGAGAAACATCACGGTATTTAGTGGCAAATATACATATTAACATTTTCAATAGACACTGGGAAGTTAAACAGCATTTGGGACTCTATTGCAGCACCCGCAATGAATTCAGGAGTGACGCAGAGATCGAAAAGTGGCAGGTGGCAGGTTCCTATTTCAGAACGGCAGGTACATCTTTCAAAATGGCATGAACGATCTCCTTCCTTTCTTCCTTGGCTTAATGCAAGGCTTCATTTGGCCAATGTTTTGATAACCTACCGCGACCAGTCCGACTAATCAATGGGAACAACGTGTGTGTGTGTGTGTGTGTGTGTGTACTCAGACCTATTTCATTAGGTTGTTACTGGAAAATGGGTTCTCGATTAATGTTTTTTATAAAGCACGGTCGACACATTCCTCTCTATTGGTTCAGAGTTGGCAGCGTTGTCTGAATCACAACATGTTCCAATAAGGTGAATGGCATGGCATGTCCGAGTGATCGACATGTTTCAATCGTAAGACTGGCATGTCAGTCTCAGTTATTGGCATGTAGCACTTATGAACGTCATGGCAGTCTGATGCGATCCTTCACCATTTTCCACCAGCATAAATATGATGGATAGCAGTGTACTTTCCCTCTTGATCTCATGAAAACGTGGCTCGAGTCTTCAGTGGCAAAACTCATTGTCGTAAAAGATACTAATTTACATGGGATTCACATATGGATTAGGAGGCGGGTCTATGTCGTTACATGGCGTTTTGAGATCGGGTTATGTCCTTCTGGAAAAGGTACCTGCCACCTGCCACTTTTCGATCTCGGCACTAGAATTTAGTTATAGCTCTGACGTTATTTGTTCTCTTTATGAGTTAGATGTAACAAAAAAGTAAGTTATCCCCTAATTCCATCAATTAAGTTACTCAACTCTTCATCGGCTGACCGTCGGCCAGCAACGAAAGTTAAAAGCTGAAGCTTTGTTTGTGTTTTCTACAAAATAACATTGTAAAACATGTTGTTTCACTTTGTCAGTTTTTTAGCATCGACCACGAACCATGGTCATAGTTTTCTGATCTATTCTGCGGCATTTGATACGCAAGCAAGGTATTTCAGCGTCTAGTTAATAGTACTTACTACGGATGTTTCTTCTAGGCGCCGTAAATGAAGTTTCACAAGATACCTGTTTCACAGCATACCTATTTAGAGTTGCTTGACGTCCCCGTGCGTGATGCTATCCTGCAGTGAGCAAACAGTACGCCTGACAGCTCAAACGCTTCCGCATTCCGCCTCATGAGGCATTCACAGCACCTCGGGTTTCTGTAAATTTCCAACGTAGACTAGACTTGAGTTTAAAGCATAAAACAATTCAGGAAAACAGTATCCTCGTGAAAGAATTAGTAGTGTCTTAGACAGTCGTTAATATCCTTAATAACTCTGGTTATTCCAGGTAACTGGTAAATACACGGTAGAGTCCCACTTTTTGGAACAACAAAAGAAAAACATTTGCATCAAAGTGCAAAATATGAATTCCTAATTTTAAGTCCATTTAGGTGGTGTTGAAATGTATGTTCTAAAGATATAATATTCTAAATGAATACATTAATTTCAAAATAATTTAACTGACAAAGCCCTTACTAGTTTAATTCTCAGGCAACGTTGGACAGAAGTTGGACAGCTGGTCCCTGAAGCGGCAGGAAGAGGGCGGGAACAAGTGTGAGGTTGGAAGCTTGGGAGGCAGTTGGAAAAGCAGCAGACACAGGAAGTTCATGGGATTTCTCAGAGTGTGGACAGTATTCATCATCGCAGGGCTACAATTTAGAATAACTTCAACTTTTCCTAAAGTGAACAATATTCACTGAACATTGCTCAAGCTCCTATTGAGGATTTTGGAAATTTGCAAAGTTAACGGTAAAATCGATGAGTTCTGCCGACAGCCGACGTATCGTCAGCTCAGGACTTCTCCCCGGAGAGGTGAGGACCCGAAAAGACCCGCACAGTGTCACACTTTCATAAACCTTTGAATAATCGCGGACACAGGGCTACAACTGCTGCGATTCTCTTAATTTGCTATGAGAACAAGACGAGGGTGCTCATTAAGAAGTGTATCAGAACGTATTAAACGCTTCATGTGTTTGATAAGTAAAATTAAAGTGTTGTTTAGTCTGATCGTAATTGTGTTATTTGTGCATTAGGTAATGAAACCAATTCCATTCAGACGCTTTCAATTGGATGTAGGCTAATTGTTATTGGATTAAACCTGTTTGCACGAATGTAGTTAGTACCTGTTGGCAGTGGCAGGATGCAGGTCGATCCCACGTGACCTTGGCAAGATCAAGCAGACTTCTATCAGGCTTTTTGACGAGGTGAATCCACGTGACCCATTGACCAATGTGGCTCTGAGAAAATACTTAAGACCCTGAACTAATTTAAAATTGTATTTATTGTTTTTAAATTTTTAAATGGGTTGTCGCCTTCCTACTTGTCGGAGCGCTTACATGTCCACACACCTATCAAAGCACTGAGGTCGTCTAATCAGATGCTCCTCGATGTGCCTGGATCCAGGTTAAAAACCAGAGGTGACCGAGCCTTTTCAGTGGCTGCTCCAAACCTGGATTAGTTTACCTATCCATGTAAGAACAGCTCGGACCATTGCAACGTTCAAGTCCCTGCTTAAGACCCACTATTATTCATTGGCTTTTAATTCAAGTTGAGCTTTGATATTTTGACTTTATTCTTCTCTACTGTCAGATATTTTGTATTGTGCTCTGTCTGTGTTTTATTGTATTGCTGCTTTTCGAGCTTGTTAAGCACTTTGGTCAACCGAGGTTGTTTTTGAATGTGCTATATAAATAAAATTGAACTTGAAATCTTCATTTTTGATGCCCATGCGTATTTTAGGTTACAAGGTGCCCCCTCACATTTGAATTATTAATATCATGTTTGCCTAATTCATTCAGGTGAACGGATTTGTCCAGAAAGTCCATTCCCCTCACTCGTCCCCAAATGATCCAGTGGAGGGAGAAATCCAGGCCTTCCTCATCGATGAAGACCAGCTCCACACTTATGACGACCTCACCAAAGTCAACCCGGTGACCACGTCAACAGGTAACAAATGGGGCTCTATTGTCACTGTGGCCTCTAGAGTCTCTTAAGATCACTAGATAAACACAATGTGTCACGGGACTCTGCATCTAGTGCTGCCTGTTTCAGCAAAGTCGTATTGAAGTCATTGTGGGCTGATTCTAATCAACATATGACCACTTCCTCTCATTTCATAAATCTTGATGTCTCTAGTGAGTGCAACTTTGTTTTTATTTATTAAAACACAGTCTGTGTGACGCTGTGTTTTCCAGCTCATGTCACGTTGGGCTGCAGCATTTACTGTGTATTGTTCAAACAATATCTAGCTCAAATCTGATTGGCCGTGATAAAGAAAAATAAGAATGCATGAATTACTGCAGTGTACAAATGAGAGGGATCAAGTTTCACTCAGGAGAGGGAAACAAGGGCATGAATTACTAGATTCAAACATTCCCAAAACAACCATTCTTGTATTCCTTGTGTTTTTATTGAATGCAATATGACCACAGGTGAATATGAAGCATCGTATCCTGTCCATGTACACCAATATCTGATTTGATCAATTTACTCTTCATTGCCTGTCTTGAAAAAAAATGCAGTGCCATCGGCATTATGCAAAAAGTACAAATTAAATCATATTTCATATAGCTTTTTTCTAAAGCTCCGGAAGTTATTTCGCTGCATCTGTGACATGAAACATATTTTTTTATCGCTACCTAATTTAGTAATAGATAAAGATATCTTTACCGCGTTGGTGCTGCTGTTTTCTCGTTCCCGCCTCCGTCGTCTCTCCTCTAAAAATGGGCGTTTATGTAGTTTCCTCTTAATCTCTAATCTGATTTAACATTTTACTGTGTTAGTGCTGAAATGCCTGCAGGCCAGGTACAGCGCGAAGGTGTTCTACACCCATGCTGGCTGCACTTTGGTGGCTCTGAACCCATTTGAGCCGATCCCCGACCTCTACTCGCTGGATGTGATGAAGGAGTATCACGGCGCTCCTCAGCCTCAGGTAACAAAGTAATAACTGTGGCTTGTGTATTTTTCTCAAGGGGCTTTTTCAATCATGGTGGTTGCAGGAGGTTTTGGATGAGGGTGGGTGACTGTTACAAACTTTGCAGTGTTTTCAAAAAAAGCCCAAAAAAGTTCAAAAAAAGCATCAACCTCCCTGTTTTGGGGTCCAACATGAATCCGCCAGCTCCTTGTCTGCTTATCACCTATCTTTTTCAGCAAACATCTTCAAAGTCAAACTCATTCTGCGATGAAACTGCGAGCATCTCCTTAAGTCACTGACGGCTCTGCCAGAAGTCTAAAACGACCCGTTTCTTTGCCAATAGGAGTTCAAACCACACATCTTCATTGTGGCAGAGGAAGCCTACAGGAATGTTCAGGGCCAGCTGGAGCCGGTGAACCAATCCTTGGTGGTCAGCGGGGAGAGCGGTGCAGGGAAGGTAGGGAATGGTGTGCTACGCTTCAGGGGTGTTATATAGACCAAGATAACTTGGTAAGTTCTTTGAGTGACTCTGAATATCATTAATGCACTTCTTCATTTTCTTCCTATTTGTTGTACTTAGCTCAGTACAAGATATTAAACTTCAATAATCGCTCATTTACAAAAATAATGGCATACCAGTTAATTTGCTGCTCTGAATGCACAAAAAAAAGCATCCGGCACACAGGAAGTGATGTTTCCTTTTCCTATTTCAGCAGCACAATATAATAAACATAAATTAAGCTAGTTTCAGCTTATGAATTGTGAGAAACTTTTGCTTTTCTCTCACAACCCTGTTTTATTTTTAAATAACTACTGTTAATATAAGCACAAATCAGCTGTTGGCCATTCGTCTTTTTTTTAACCATGTCACACACTTAATTAGTTAGTTGGTTAATGGATAGATACATCTATAGTGAAGATAGTTGATATGAACAGTTTATCACTGAGGAAAACACCACTGCAATGAGCCAAAAGTCAAATAACAAAGACAAATACTTAAGAAGAGATTAAACAATTGCTATGTTTAATTGACTGAATAAATTGATCAACATCATTTATTCGCGATTACTCCAGTTGTGAAGAGCATTTCCCTTCTTGTATTTCAAACACAGTGACGGGATCGTGAGAAACGAGCGTTAACGGACTTGTGGATTTGTTTCTTTGCAGACATGGACGTCCCGTTGCCTGATGAAATACTACGCCACTGTGGCAGCTTCCTCCTCCGTGGTGAAGAGTCAGGACACAGTGGAGAGGATAGAAAGGAGGGTGCTGGATTCCAACCCCATCATGGAAGCTTTTGGTGAGAAAACGGGTGATCGTTGGTGTCTCGTTAAGGTAAATACAATCACTGTGGACGTTCCCAGAGTCAACACTTTACCCGCCGTGTGTAGGCAATGCCTGCACGCTACGGAACAACAACAGCAGTCGCTTTGGGAAGTACATCCAGCTCCAGCTGGACAGGTAGGTACTCGCAACTGATCCTGCTGCACGCTCTACTTCATCAAGTGGGATCAGTGCATCGGTTTGACGTGGTGTTTTTTACACCAAGGTGTCAGCTGTTAGTGGGAGCATCTGTGCAAACCTATTTGCTGGAGAAGACCAGAGTGGCTTGCCAACTGGCTAATGAGAGGAACTTCCACATATTTTACCAGGTGAGTTAACGGGGCTGCCCATCGTCGTGTTTGGGTTTGGGACTAACATTCACATGTGCAGATGCTGAGCGCATGTGGCTTTTCAGATGATGAAAGGTGCCACCGATGAGCAGAGAAAGGAGTGGAAGATGCCACGTAGCCGGAGTTTTGTGTGGCTGCCAAATGCAGAAAAGACAGTTGATGGTTTGTCTTTAATTATCGTGTGTATTAAGAAGTTTTTTTTATTCTGTACATTTATGTACCTACTCTCCATGTGTTGTCTTCATAGAGGATTGCTTTGATGAGACTGTCGAGGCAATGGTCCATCTGGGCATTAATGCAGAAAGGCAGAGACAAATATTCAGGGTATGGTGCTCTTCATCGCTAACACATTTTAAGACAACTTAACCTCCTCTGTTTAGCATTTATAAACACTACGACACTACAGTTAATAGGCTTATCTTCTATGAAGGCATATTTTTTATTATTTATATATTTTTAAACTGTTTTTGTCTTTTTTTCTGTCTTTATCTTCATTCATTATGTTTATGCAACGACATCCAGCTGTATGAGCGGACAGGAGGTGTTAGTCACTAAAAAATAGATGACAAATAGTATTTACATCTATACCCCTTTTTACATGCATCCATGCATGTTAATAAGATTACGTTAAGTTCCTTTTTGTGTGAATGTGTGCTTGTTCTTCAGTTTAATTGATGTGTACCACAATGTCTTTGTATTATCACCCTACTTGAAGCGTAGTTACATGCACACGTTATGTGTTCTAAATTATTTATTAAATGTTTATTTTTTACTTATGATTCCTAAATATAATTGTTAAAGTAAATTATTACATATTCATAAATTTCCAGTTCTATTTATTTTTTTTTCTCTCTTGGCACAAATTTTACTTTCTGTTTGTTGCGTTACAGATATTAGCTGGGATTCTGCAGCTGGGGAATGTGAATTTCTCCTTTTCCACGGATGAATCACAACCTTGTGATCTAGATGAACAGTCCAAAGGTATTTGACACAATTTTATTTTAGATTTAATTTTCTCACTTACGGTTATTGAGCTGTACAGAATAATGCTCAAGAGGTTCTTTGAGAGAAACACACAGCATAAATCCCACAACACCGTGCTCTCTGACAACAACTGTAAAAAAACTGTATGAAATACATCGTTAACAACCTTCCACTCGGGTCTGTGTTTCAGACTTTTGGCAGAGAGCTGCCGAGCTGCTGTGTGTCACGGCCGAGGAGCTTCGGACGTGTTTGAGGGTGAGGACGTTGAAGGCGGGGAAACAAAGTGTGCTGAAGCCCTGTTCCCAGGCAGAGTGCAGCATGAGGAGAGACTGCCTGGCCAAGGTCATCTACGCCCAGTAAGAAGGAGGATCTGATCACGTCCAACGGCAATGTGATAATATTATGTACAGAGGGCCGGTCATGCTGGCACTTGTTTTTGTCTTGTGACCAAAACATTCCTTTCCACCAGACAATCAAATGTGAAACCAACATGCTTTTTGGTTTACAATAAACAGAGAGGAAGACGTGTGTAAATCCCTCTTTACATTCTAGTCAATTTTTTGGAAAGGAGTTTCTTTTTTTCTTACAGATTATTTGATTGGCTGGTTACGTTCATCAACAACAGCATGTGTGCAGACAAGTCCATGTGGTGCAACTTCATAGGTAAAGACATGTTCTTTTACTTAGTTGAATATCAATGTGAATAATTTGTTTTCATTTTTCCTCTGACTCTTTTCATCAGCTCACACATTCCTCTCCTCTCTGTGATCTGCAGGAGTTCTAGATGTGTACGGGTTTGAATGTTTCCAGATCAATAACCTGGAGCAGCTGTGCATCAACTACGCTAATGAGAAACTGCAGCAGCATTTTGTGGCTCATTATCTCAAAGCTCAGCAGGTACGACATTCATCAGTTCTCCGTGCAGAGATCTCAGAAGAGCCATAGTTTCTCTGCCTGATGTGTTGATGCGCGGGCCTCAGACTGTTAGCAGGCATCACAAAGTCTCTGCTGATCGAACCTTTTGCACATTGTACAGTGTGAGGAACAAAAATTGTACTTGAATAGTTGTGTTTATGTCTGCTTCTCCCAGGAGGAATATGTATCGGAGGGGTTGGAGTGGTCTTTTGTCAAATACCAGGACAACCAGAGGTGTCTCGATCTTCTAGAGGGAAGTCCCGTCAGTGTGTTTTCTCTTCTTAATGAGGTATGCTGGTAATTCATTTTAAACACATTATTTATTGATAAAATATGCATTTATAACCTGCACAACAAAAAACAAGCAGGAAGACACATTAATAATCTGAAAAGAATACATTTAGAAAACCAACATTTTATGGATTTCAATTTTTTTTTTTCCAAATGAGAAGCTGTGTCCAAACTTTTGACTTGTACTGTGTGTATCTGTAGGAAGAGAAGGTTGACACCATTTGACATACCTTTTCTTATAGGAGAGTCGTCTCAATCGAGTCTCAGACGCAAAGACCTTCATGGCTCGTTTGGAGAAGGAGCTCTGTGTTAATGCCAACGTCAGCTGGGACAAGTTCAGCAAGGTGCCACACTTCACGGTGGCCCATTACGCCGGCAAAGTCAACTACCAGATAGAGCGAATGGTGGAGAAAAACAAGGTGCGTACCACAGAGAAAGCGTTCAGAGAGTTCCCCACGTCTCCATCCACTCATCCACCGGTGTGTGTGTGTGTGTGTGTGTGTGTGTGTGTGTGTGTGTGTGTGTGTGTGTGTGTGTGTGTGTGTGTGTGTGTGTGTGTGTGTGTGTGTGTGTGTTAGGATCCAGTACCACCAGAGCTCACCCACCTGCTTCAGAAGTCTGACAACCCCCTGCTCCGCCAGATCTTCTCTGATAAGGAAACCGAGAACACAACCAGCAAGGGGCTCAGTAGAGTCACCGTGGTCTCCAAGTTTAAGGTGGGAGCCCACCAAAGCTTTATTTACTGGGACTGCATTAGCTAGACGGGGCGTGTAGATTCCTCTCTGGAGAGTTTAGTGATGGTACTGACTAATGTCTGATTGCAGAACTCTCTGGAGAGCCTGATGAAGATCCTCCACACCACAACTCCTCACTACACCCGCTGCATCAAACCCAACCCCGAGTGTAAGCCGCTCACCTTCAAAAAGGAGGAGGTAGATATTTTTGTCTTTTTTATTAATCGCAATTACAACAAAAGCGATTCCTTCTATTTAAAAACAATGTAATGGTTTGAATGGTTATTTCCTGTCTTCTCTCAGGTTATCTTGCAGTTGGAGGCCTGTGGGATTGTAGAGACTATTCATATAAGTGCTGCTGGCTTTCCAATAAGGTGAAAAAAATGTGATTCAATGAGATTAAAGATTGTAGATGGAGAGAATGGCCTCAGCGCTGTTTCTTTAAACTGGGGGCGTGTTGCTTTCTATCTGCTAGATTAATAAACGGCACAAGTAACTCAACTGAACAAATTTGGTGAATTTAAAAATTAATCTAAACTACCCCTTTAATATGTTGCTTTGTTTTTCTTGGATTTTGGTTGACTGGTCATTTCTGTTGTACAGGATTCCTTTCAAAAGCTTCTTGCAACGCTACGGACTGATTGCAAAATATTTAATTTTCAAGTCAGGCAGTGTGGGTAAGTACAGTTTGTTTAAGGTCCATTTTGGCATGTTCACTGTTGACAAAGAGTGACTTTCTTTCCTCTGTGGGTTTGCTGATGTATTCCCCTTTTCCTTCACTAGCCTTCCTAGTAAGCGTGACCCTCCGCTCTCTACTCTCCTGGGGACTTTTTCATTTGGTGTATAAAAACAACCCTTTCTAACAAAATGGGCAACATTTTATGAACTTTTCAGGTAAATGCATGAACCTCTGTCTATCAGAGCTCGCTTTGCGTGTTTCCTGTATCTTAACTCATTCCTTACCGGTGCTTTACTTCAAATTTATCTTAAGACACTATTTTGCTGCTTTTCATCCACGCCGGCAGCACTGCTGTGTTGGTCAGCCAGTGTGTCTGCCGGTATGTTTCAGAATAGAATAAGTCAGCTGTTGGATGGATGGCTATGACAGTCTTTGTTTGATTGCCATACAATTTGGTACACGTTCACCTTCCTTGGATGAATTCTAATAATCCTGGTGATTCCCTGACTTTTGCTGTAATGCTGCCATGAGATCAAATACTTTGGCTCGAGGTGCTGTACTTTGTGTTTTAGCACGCTGAACTAAGAACCTGAGCGTGTTTAACATTGCACCTGCTGAACATCAGCGTGTGAAGCACTTGAGAGGCTGTACACTCTCAAGGGATCTGCTCTCTAATACCACTGAATCAGGTTTGAGTGATTGATTGAATTCAGACGGAGTAATGGTGTCCGACTCTGTGGAAGCTGCCTGTGCTCTCTCAATCATAACCACTTTTCAGCTCACTCACCGAATCTGATGCGGTAAAATTGACTCTCCAGACAGTCGAGTGCTGCTCTGCCCTTCCTTTATATTATGTCTCTTGTAATTTGCTCTAATTCCAATGTTCCTCTTAGATGTGGAGGCTGACCGCAGCGACACGCTCCGGCAGGAGGTGGAGAAGCTCCTCCGTGTGGTGCTGCAGCACAAGGCGTTCGACCCCTCGCACAACCGGGACTGTGACAAACCCAATTCATGGGTCCACTGTGGCAGAACCAAAGTTTTTCTCACTCAGTTAATGGTCAGTCACTTACATACACCGACATCCTCACATCATATGAAGAATATGTGTAACTTGGAACACAAATACCTCAAAGGGAATAAGCTAAAATACTACAACCAACACTTTATTTCTTCGTATCTTTCCTGTTTGGTGTTTCAATTACTTAACAGGCGCATGAAGCATACAAAGGCTCCGGTCTGCTTTTGGAGTTCTGACCTGCCTGGCTGTTTTCCCACAGCTCGATCCGCTGGAGGATCAGAGGAAGAAGATCCTGTCCCAGTGTGCCTTCTCCATTCAGTGCTGCTGGCTGAGGTTCCAGCGTCGCCGGCGCCACGCCCGGCAGCGGTCTGCTACTCTGATCCAAGCAGGTAAACTCTTAATGCCTTAAGACCTGACCTGTCTGGCCAATCGGAGGCAGCAGCTCGTCGGATTAACTGATGTGGACCAAATGGATGTACATACAGTTTTGTCTCCACGATGCAAAGCCTACACTTGCAGAATGAATGGCGTGGTCAGATGTTGAATGTGTCTCGTGCGTCCCGCAGCGGTGCGGTCGTGGCTCCTCAGGAGGCAGCTCCAGAGATGCAACAGAGCAGCTGCAGTCATCCAGACCGCCTGGAGGAAGAGGAGGGTGAGATCTGTAAAGAAAACATAATGTGCCTCATGTCTTCTTGCTTATTTTTCATGTTCCAGAGTTTTACGAAAGCCTTTTGTCAGCGTACGTTGGGTCTGAAGATCACAAGGAAACTGAGAAAAAGTGATTTTTACCAGACACCACCTGTCTCTGCTTGAATCTACATCAGCTGCTCCCTGCATAACACACGTATCTCTGACCATGTAGTTGTCAGTCAATGAACAACATAGCAACAAATAGACATGCACTATTCGCAAGAAGCAAAAAATGTATGGCTCAGTGGGGTTTTGTTTTTGTCGCAGGCCCTTTTGAAATCATTGGCCGAGGCAGAACTGGACGACGCAATGGACCTAGCGGAGGAGGACCTGCCGGCATTGAACGCTGTAATCAGGGAACGGGGCTCAGTGCAGCTCTCCTCCCTGCAGGAGCCCGTCACAGTGCGAGGGTGGCCCATGGGCCTGGCTCTGGCCTCAGCGCCGTCCATCACCATGTCTCTGACAGCCACAGGCTTTCAGAAGATGATGTCTGTGTTGGCCTCCCTCAACGTGCCCTCCAGGAGAAGGGAGTATAAGGTGAAGCCCAATCAGTACTCACAGGAGCTAGCCTCCATACGGGCTCAACCTAAGGTGAGGGCACATAGTTGTGTTAGATGTACCATCAGATTTTTACTATCAAGGATTTTTATCATGTGGGATTCAACTTTTTCTTGTCTTTTCAGGGATCTGTAAAGCTGCACTATCAGCGATCTCCACTTCTCTATGCTGACACGCAACCAGACATAAAGAGAGACGTGACGGGATTCAACGCAATCCTGCTAGAAAAAACTTTGTAAGCAATCCCACGGTGCTGCCGGCCAGAGGTGGATTTCATGTTATGGTGGGAAAGCATTTGCACCTCCATGAAAAGAGGGGAAATAATATAATTTTTGCTAACAACCTGAATCCTGGCATTATCATTCTTTTTTAGCCACCAGGTTAGGTAAGATTATGCACCGTGCCGTGAACCTGACTTCATCGTAAATCATCTGTAGGCCCCCCCGGGTTCCATGAAACAAAAAAAATCAGATCAAATCATTGAACAGGATTTTGGTTGATGTCGCTGCAGGACAGAGCCTATTGATCAAAGTGTTGGGCCTTTGACAAGTGCCTTTCTTATAATCTACTCTCAAATCAAGAATGGGCTGTCGATACAACTTTATTTTAAAGTGATTATTTATGACTGATTTTAGGGATTTATTATCGTAAAATCGTTTGCACATGAATTAAGTATTGCACATTATAACCACGGACCTGCAACAAGCGCACATGAACAAGAGGACACACAAGTTGTGTGAAATAGGGAAAGCAAAAAATAGTTTTTGTATAATATTTTTTTATAAAGAAATCTGTAAAATATTTGCTTAATCCACATTGTGTAGATTTTCATCTATTGCATTAATGAAATTACTGCACAACCGACCAAAGTCTTATTACACTATTTTTTGTTTAAAAATGGTAAACCTCTTTGGCTTTAAGTAACGTTAGTAGTTATTCATTTAACTTTGATTTGATCCTATGCAATACTTACCGACAGCTGGTGATTCCTTTCATATCTTCAGTTGTGCGCTCTTAACTTTTTCCAGCCATAGATTTACTCAAATGTGGCATTCAGTCATTATGACAGTTGATCATTTGCAATATGTACACTATTTTGTAAGTGGTAACAAGGGATTGTTGTAAAACTTGAAATGTTGATATTTAATGACCATTTCTTTTAAAATAAGTCTCTTAATAAAAATGTAACTGATGCACCTTCCTTACTTTGTTTCCATGTAATCATCTGTTGCATATATTTCTTTAGTGGTGACTCAGATCATTTCAAAAGGTTTCAGCATTTATTTGAATACTGTAGCATGAAAAAAAGGGCAGGATCACAGTCACAGATTACAGGAACTAAACTTCATGCTAATGAATCAGACTTTATACAAAAAGATGATCAAAATGGATCTGGTAGAAAAAAAAAACTAATGTTGGCAGTTTAGAAAACTTCATCTTCATTGCAAGATTTGGCTTCATTTTCAACAATTTTCAAACATCGATCAGAAAATTCCACAAACAGAGGCTCCTGCATGGCCGCCTTCATAGCATCCGCTTTGCTATCTGCACCGTCTATGGAGCGAAGTAACTCTCTCAGGTGGGGGTTGCAAAGAACATCTCGTAGCTCTTTTGACTGACCTTTAGAGAAATTCAAAAACATGAATTACACACCTTGTATATATTATTTTTAATAAATGAATGTGCGTATTAGAGATTACGGTGTGTTAGATAAAGTGTGAATACTGTTGGTTTAATACCTAACAGCTTAAGCCTCTGCAGAGGGACTTTGTCAATGATGTCCTCTTCGTGCAGAAGATCCTCAACAGTCCACGTTTCTGAAAAGACATGAAACAAAGTCCCTTATCCATCTGGGGGAAACATTAGACTGCTCGCTTATATCGTACCTTGGCAGGTGGAATTCTAGATATCTCACTATTTTTTTTATTGTAGTGCAACGGTGGTTATTAATGTGTCATAAGTGCATCATCCACAAACCTAGATTGCTCCGTTACATTGGTGGCCTTCTTAGTTTAGCGTAGCTGTCTCAGTTTAGCTAGGAGGCTAAATCTGTTGTAGTTGGGACAAGCTATTTCAAAGTGGAAACAACAAGGACCATAAAGTTTCCGTTGACCAAGTCAAAGGCATTGCGACTAAACTAGACGGCTGATTGGCTACAACAAAGTGTTGCGGTAAGGTCCCATGTCCTCATGAGGTTGGCGGAGCTTAACACCTCTGTTATATGCAATGAGCGGCTCTTTTTGTCAAAAAAAGAGTCGCTGAAGATTTGGTGACCGTACATACACATTTTATGTAGTCTGGCTGGTGAGCAAACCTTTTAATGTCAACCCCTACCTACAAACATCTTTGTTGTCTTAATCTACTAAAGGGACAATTGAAAATTTTAACACTAAGTGGTAGAAATAAGTCCTATCATCTTAACTACTCTCAGGACTGGGAGAGCAGTCCTGACACCTGAGACGCCTGTGTGAACAAAATACTGGACAAATGAAAAGTACTGAATATAATAGGATAAAAACAGATGTGGAAAAATAACAACTAGTTAAAGTGTAATTAGAGAAATAAAAATGAATAAATATTTCCAGCTGAGTATGTTTACATGCATGTCCACAAAAGGAGTAATACAATGACATCAATAGTCTCCACAGGATCATTCGCAAAAGTAGACTTTGTGTTAGTATGTGCATGTTATCAATTTAGATGCCATAATGATGATCACGCTATCGCCATATGATAGCATCATGATGACGATTCCTTGATTTTATCAATGTTAGACAGTCCAACATATTACATCTTAGTTGTGTTGAGCTCACGCTAACAGGGACACACTATACAAAGAAGAAGAATCACAGAAATAACTGCATACCAGTATTAAAAGAATCCGTTGCTTCAGGATCAATAGGTGCAGGCCGCTCAACAGGCAGGCAAGTGTCTATGGACAAACAAAGATTCCAATGGTTGATCAGTGGACGATGACCAACGCAGTATGTCCTCCAAATATTATCACAACTAGTAACATAGTAACTATAGTATATAGTATAGTAGTATAGTAACATAGTAACTAGTAACAACTAGTACAACAAATAACATTGATAAATAATCACCAAAATACTAAGACCAAGCCAATTTACCTTTATGTGTCTTATAACAGCCAAGTGAACAACTGAAAGACAGAAAAGAAAGAATAGCTCTAATAAAAAACAAATGTATCGGGCTATATAATAATAATAATTATTAGGTAATACACATTGACATCAGTACACTGAACAGATGTTGTATGTTAGTGTTTCAAAGTAAACATTCTAAATGGGAGATGAGATCTATTCCTATTAAAGCAGGAGTTTGATAACTTCAACCCAGGATGACTAATGACTTTGTGCATCAATTAATTTGTCAATCAAAAGTATTTCTTCTAGAGAGAGCAAGGGCCTGCGAGTTACAAGTGACGTATGTAGCCGTCCCATGTTTCACGCGTCATACAGCGGCATGGTTTGTAAATGAGGACATCTTTTTTGGTTTCTGAATTTGTATCTACAGCCTTTTTTGGCTGTAGATACAAATCTACATGTTTTTAAACGGCACGTGTCGTGCATGATTAAGTTAAAAGCTTACGATAAGGTGCTGCACTGCGACCGTAATCTCGAAGGAATCGTTAATTTAGCTAATGTTAGCTCAAAGTTTTTATTGTTAACGGTATTTGCTTATTTAAACTCGTCGTTAAACGTTAGGTGTATCAAACTTAAGTATGTGATAGGAGCAGAGGAAAAAATATCTCGGAACTGTTGTTTTTATTTTACTTGATCCAAACAACTCGGTCGCCAATTGAATGCTAACTAACGTAACGTTAGCTAACGTCGGCTAGCTACAGGAAGTTATTTAAAGTTACTTACTATCGTATTTTGCATGCTGGACATTTGTATTTTGGTGTGGGTTCACTGCATACACTGCATATCTGCATCCTGGCGAGTAGAATAAATAACGTTAAGTGAGGAATAAATTGGTTGTTATGCTAGCAGGGGAGCTCCTCGCGCATGTGTGTAAACCAGGAAATAAATCGTATCGCTTCCGGTTGGAAATCCTTCCTTCAAAATAAATGTATTATGTACAGTTCAGTCACTAACACTTTTATAGATTAGCGAACCTCTGGTTCAGCTGAGAAACACTTTGTAACAAATTTATTTGGGGAACTTTTCAATGACTGTACTCGTTTTGTTTACAGTATGTATGCTGTAGAATTGCAGTAAAATACAAGAAATGTGGCTGCCAGTAGATTACTGTAAATTAACGGGGAAATGTGTTACAGTGTAGGATGAGAGAAGGGAGAGAGCAGAGCCTGAGACACCAAGTTCCTGAAGGGAGGAGAAAATGATCTGGTGCTTTACTGTGTCAAACGCAGCAGAAAGGTCCAGAAGGATGAAGACAGAGGAGAGAGAGCTCTAGCATTGTGGAGTTGCTCTGAGACAGCAAGGAGAGCAGTCTGTGTGGAATGGCCTGACTTTGAAGCCTGACTGGTGGGGGTCAAGGAGGTTGTTATGGTGGAGATAGGAGAGTTTCATGTCAGCTTCCACAATTTAAGTGACAGACTATCTCTCATTAATAAAAATGAACCTGCAATTTGAAATGCACAAATAAATCTATTTATTTGCTGTGGGTGATATCTTGAAGCATTTCTGAGAGAACCTACTGGACAAATGTACAAAATGTAAACGTGGCAGGCAGTCATTCCCCTCAGAAAACACTTGACTCAGGGAGAGAAAAGCTCATAGAGAGCAGGAGGGTAATTGGTCTAAATGTGAGGGTCAGAGAAATAATACATTCTGCATTAAAAAAACAAAAAACACAAGAACCGTAACAAACCTATGACGCATACTAAACTAGCTTAATTAAAGCAAACTGTTTCTATTCTTATTCCGTTATGAGCAATAAATAAAACGATCTGGCCTGGTTTTGTTCAGGTTTTATTGAATCAAAACACAATATATAATATATTCAGCACCCACATGGCGATATCTAACTCTTAATATGTATCAAGCACACACTACTGACCTAGCTGCATACAAATTCTACTTGCAAAGCTTTAAATTGAGAGTAGCAGGTCTCGCTACAGAGAAGGGAATGAAGGGCTGTCCCGTGACCGATTACTGGGCCTTTTCCTCGGAGTCACAGCGCTCCATTCACCGGGTCAGGGAAAGCAGGGAACCTCGGCCAGAGTCAACATCAGGAATCCAACTTTGTGTCCAGATCTGTGTGAGAATTCAATGGTGATCACAAATAATATCCTGCAACCGTTTCATTGTCTATTTAACTGCAGATTGCTATTATGCTATTCATAATTTAGTCTAAAATGTCAGAAAAGACCATTTCATTCCTCAAACCCGTTATCCGTTAATAAGAAAAAGTATAATAAATGACCTATTTGATTGCAGTTTTTTTTAATCTGCTGTTACGTAAGGTATGAAATGAAGCAATTGTTCCATCTGAAAACATACAAAAATGGAATCGCTTGATCCAGTATTTATGACGCTAGTCTGTCAAATAATGGACTAATCGGACAAAGCAAACTTGACTGCTGACTAAAACAGTCGACGTCCGTCTACTGGCCATTGTATAGTAAATAATAAAAACATTTTTTTTTAAGAATGGTTAATCACAAGTTTAAGAAATTACCTGAAAACACCGAAAGCGATCAAGACAAGATCTTGGGTCTCCTGCGTTTCACTTCGCTGTTGTGATATTTTTCTGTTATTTTCCTTTCGTGTCCTGCGGGGCAATGGCGGTTTGTGTTCAGCTCGATCTCTCGCTTGGATCTTCCTTTCCCACAAGCATGGCACGAGTATTCACGCAGATTATAATAGTCGTATTGATCGTAATACGTTTCCTCGAAACAAACGAATCTTTCCATATCTGTCGCCATTTGGAGACGGAACGCAGCGGCTTTGACCAGACGAGTCTCGGAGCCTGTAAACAGATGAGGTCACCCTATGTTTATATACTTATAGTCACGTGATCCCGGCTGTGCCACTTTTAGATTTGGGAAATATGGACTGTAAAAAATATTTTATTTAGAAATTTTGCATTGTAGTGCTTGTTCTAAATTTATTTTCAATTTTATTTTAGTGGGGCTGTCCTTGTTTATCATGTTAGATTGAATCCTTCGGCTTCGTATTTCGTAACACACACGTTATGCAATGTATGACAAACAAAATGTTCTTATTGAATAAATGTTGGGTATTAAAACTGCTGTTATAGCAGTGTTTCAACCGGCTTCATCAGTCGAGGGGACGTTCAGGGACTGCATTGTGTTTGTGATATGAAAATAAATCCACATCCAAGGAAATGCACAGTGTTTATAATTATGTCCGGTATGTATGAAAGTTAATGGTGTAACTATGCAGAACACATTCCGCTCAAGCCTGATACGATACAAAACGCACGCTGTGTGTTCGCATAAACATTTGCACAACCAAATCTGCATGCATATATTAGCAGATCCCAACGCGTCCGCATAGAAAGCCGGAGTTTTCTGTATGTGTTTTTGTTCCTCGGCGCAGCGTCCCGCC